TTTGCTACAGCAGACAGGGCAGCCCTGGCTCAGGTGAAGTTCGAACTGCAGAAGAGACACAAGTGCACTGACCTGGGTGAGCTGCAGCGTTACCTTGGCTTGCAGATCACCCGGGACAGAGCCGCTCGCACCATCACACTGACGCAGTCACACATGGTGCAGCAGGTCCTTCGGCGGTTCGACTTCCAGTTCTCCACCACACAGCCCACTCCTCTTGCTGTTGACCACAGACTCACTGGCCCCTTTCCCGACGAGCCTTTTGAGTCCAGTGGTCCCTACGCAGAGCTGGTGGGCTGCCTCATGTACCTGATGACTTGTACTCGGCCGGACCTCGCCTTTCCTCTCAGCGTCCTCTCTCGCTTTGTTGCGACTGGGAGACACCGTCCTGTCCACTGGACAGCTGCTGTGAGGGTGGCGAAGTACCTGGCGACTACATCAGGCATGGGGCTTGTGCTTGGAGGGACTCAGCCAGTGGCGTTGACTGGGCACTGCGACTCTTCCTACGCTGACGACGTGGAGACTCAGCGTTCGACTCAGGGTTACTGCTTCAGTCTGGGAGCTGGTGCTGTGTCGTGGAGGTCTACTCGGTCGTCGTCTGTGGCTACTTCCAGTGCAGAGGCAGAGATCTACGCTGGTGCCATGGCGGCACAGGAGCTTCGTTGGTTGACCTTCTTGCTCACCGACCTTGGTGAGCGGCCTCGTTCTGCACCGACCTTGTATGCTGACAACAAGGCCATGATCCTCCTGTGTCGAGAGCCGCGACTGGAGAGCAGAGTAAAGCATATTGACGTGAGGTACTTCCTCCTGCGAGAGCTGCAGCGACGCGGCCAGGCACGCCTGGACTTTGTGGCCTCAGAGGCCAACACTGCAGACGTCTTCACCAAGGCCTTGGCGCCTGGTGATCACCACAGGTTCTGTGTGCAGTTGGGGCTTGTTGAGGTAGGCCCCCGGTTGCTGTAGTCTTGTTGCTTGCTCTGCTTGTTGTGTTTTCATATTTATATCCTAGTGAACTGTTGAACTGGCCTTGTGGCCACTTGCTTGTGCTCGGAATTTGTGTGGTGTCCTTGAGCTCCACCCTGAGCTTGTCTTGCCTTGACTGGTCTTGTGACCGTTTGTTTTCACCTTGCTTGCCCTGGTGTCCCTCACTTAGCCTATGGGGGTGTGTCAAATGTTAATGTTATGATAGGCTGCAGTGAGGCACTCCCTAAAGGGTACAACATTTGTAGGACTCCTATTTGTATGCTTGCAAACCCTAATTCCAATCATTCCGTTGCATGTAGACTTTGAGATCGCCATCCGTTTTGCAAATACAAGCACAGAATCTGATTGTGAAAGCTTGCTATTTGTCTTTGCAAATGCAACGTCTCATTTCAACTGGCAAGTACAAGATTTTTTATCGTCCAAGCATATTACATAGTAACAACGATGAATTCTCTACTATACTAGGGTGGGAGGGTGGGGAACTTGAAAACTGAAAGTTTGAAATGAAAAACGTGGGTGAAGGCCAAATGGCCTTCGCCCCCTCTTTTATACCGAAAAAGAGGGGAAGTAGCGGTTCGCCGAAGCATTTTGCTTCGGTACAAATATCTTCGCTATTCACAATACACATTTTTAGAAAGTGTTACACACTTTCAAAAATTTTACATTTACGTGTTGGAAATTATTGGCGGGAATGGTTCAAGTAGAAACGAGCGGTTCAGTACGGTGCCACTGACAAGCCCTAGAGAGTCACACACGACACGAGAGAGGAATGTTTTCACTGATGCTCACAGGTCGCGGTTTATCTGACCTTGTTGACGATTAGGAGTCAGGCTACGTAATTAGTAGCAGTAAGCAGCCATTTAATTCTAAACTTCTCGTCTGATCCTTTCACTATGTCAGGCGAATCGCCGATCCAGCGGCTACCTGAGGAGCTGCTTTCTCAGATCCTTCGTTTTCTGGTTCGACCCGATGGCAAGCTGGAGCATGCACTAGTAAGCAAGCAATGGCAGCACATTGCATACCGCTTGCAACACGAGCTTCGATTGCCGGAGAATCTTCATATGGATCCGCCTCGCCTCGTTCAGCTTCTGTCGCCGTTCACTAACCTCAGAAAGCTTATTCTCTCCTCCGGTAGCCTCACCTCCTCCCCAACATTGTTTTTCTCTCACCTCGGCCGGACGTGTCCCAATCTGACCCAGCTTCATGTTGGACCGAAATCACGTGAATCTAGTTACGGAGTTGTGACTGAGAAAAGCCTAGTTGCGCTGTTCGAGGGATGTACGCGGCTCGAAGTTCTTGATCTGTATTGTTCGCAGCACGCTTCCATTCCCCCCTCGATCGACCGACTCACATTGCTCAGGAGCTTGAACCTTAAGGCAAGCGTCAAGCGACTTCCCGACACGTTTACCTCGTTGCAGTCCCTAAGAAGCTTCGTGCTGGATACTTACTATCTCGAGGCTTTGCCTCGAGACTTCGGCAATCTGGTTTCGCTAACGTCGGTTGAGCTGCATCCCGCTGCTTGGTGTCGCTCCCGGAATCGTTCGGGCAACTCGCTGCTCTGAACCGCCTATTATTGAGTCATTGCTCGACATTGCAGCTGCCTGCATCTCTCACCAAGCTTTCTTCCCTCGCCACCCTTGAGATTCGACGATGCAAGATTCTTTTCCCGTCACCCGCCGATTTTGGTGAACTGCAGGGACTCGAAACCCTAGTTTTGAATGAAGTGAGGGGAATGCGAGATCTGATAGGGGCTCTGGAGCACTTGAATCTGCTTAATACTCTAGTCGTCAAGCAGTGCAGCGATATCACGTCTCTGCCGGACTCTCTTTCCCGCCTGCCTCTCAGCAGTCTCACCCTTGACATGCCAGGACTTTCGGTGCTGCCCGAAGAACTCGGGCAGTTGTCAGAGCTTCGGACGCTCGTACTGGATCTGAGGCGTCTCACTACCTTCCCTGATTCCATCGCCCTGCTTACCACGCTTCGAGAGCTTTCCTTGAATTATCTTTTAAAGCTGACATCTCCATCCGCGGAGCTCGGGCAGCTGGTTGCTCTCGAGAAGCTGTGCTTGAAGTGCCTTCCACATCTCACGCACCTGCCCGAATCCTTCGGGCAGTTGACAGTTCTCCGGGAGCTGGAAATAGTGGAGTGTAGGCAGCTGCAGCAACTCCCGGACTCCCTATCCCAGCTTATTTCTCTCGAGCGCCTGGAGATTAACATTTGTCCGCGCCTCACGGTGCTGCCAGATGACATGGGGAACGGTCTGCACCGCTTGCGCTATCTTCATTTCCTGAAATGCACCGCTCTCACTCGCCTCCCTTCATCCTCCTCCGGCCTGACGTCTCTCGAAACCCTCAAGATTTTCCTCACGAAACACTTCAGGGGCGCCTTGTTAGACGGGTTTGGCTGCTCGAAAAGCCTCAAGGAGCTGTCACTGCAGCACTTGGTGCGCCTATCCGCCCTCCCCGCTTCCTTCTCGGGCATTTCTTCACTCACCAGCCTGGAAGTGGTAAACTGTCCTAAAGTGACGGTCCTGCCTGAGGGAATCGAACGGCTGGAGGCGCTCGAGGAGGTCAAGTTGGGACAGATGGACGGCCTGAAACGTCTCCCTCCAGCGCTTTTGAGCTGCCGCGACTGCAAGTGTTGGAGGTGCGGACATGTGGTGGGTTGGTGGCGGTGTTAGGGGATGAAAAGATGCATGAAGGTACTGCCAGTGGTTCTTTGGCCAGCAGCAACAGCAGCAGCCGCAGCAGCAGCAGCAGCGTACTGCTTCCAGCCGTTCAGAGGCTTAAGATAAAGGCTATTGGTGTGGAGTCTTTCGGCCCATCCCTCGGCCGGCTGTCCTCTCTGACGCAGCTGAAGCTCCTGGAGATGGGCAGGCTTGAATCTCTCCCTGACTGCATCTCCCAACTCACGCAGCTGCAAAGATTCCGGGTTGATTCGGCATACCATCTGAAAGCATTGCCCGAGACCCTTGGGGGGCTTGCAGGGCTGCGTTCTTTGCAGCTGGTGAACCTCATCTCAATGCGGCAGCTGCCCGAGTCTCTCGGGCAGCTGAAAATGCTCGAGACGCTGGAGATTATCGATTGCTACAAGCTGATGCAGCTTCCAGGGTCCTTCGTGAATCTATCCAACCTACGATCCTGCTCTCTGATCAAACTCGGGATCTCAACCATTCCGGATGATATCTGGAAGCTGGCCTCCCTCCAGAAGCTGCTGATCATGGGGCTGAAGCACTTGCGAAGCTTGCCGGATTCATTCAGCCGGCTGCCTAAGCTTGAGGAGTTGGAGGTGTCTCTGTGCAAGCAGCTGGCTCGGCTGCCTTCTCTCCGGAAGATGGCGATGCTGCGTGTGTGCGACATCGATGAGTGCCCTCTGCTCTCCCGGCGAGACATGAGCGGGGCGCGTGCAAGGAGAGGTGAGGTGGATGGGGAGGAGGGAGACGGGGAGGAGGAGGAGGAGGGGGAGAGAGGGGATGTGGAAGGGGGAGAGGGGGAGGGAGGGGATGCGGATGGGGAAGAGGAAGAGGGGGAGGGAGACGATGCGGTTTCGGAAAGTGAAGAGGAGTGGGAGGAGGAGGAATCATCGGAGGAGGAAGAGGAGAGTGGTGGGGAGGATGATGACATTGAGCACGTGTACGGTTTTGACAGTGAGAATGACCCGGACGACGAGGGCGGATGGGACGCGATTGACTCCGACTAGGAGGAGAAATTAGAGTTGGAGAGGGAAGTTGGAAGGTGTCATCAGTGGCACTTGTTGTCAGATATGCGCAACAGTCACTTCAAATTGGTTTGTTTTACTTCATCTTCCTCTTTGCATGTTGAGTTGAGAGACATTTAAAGGGGGCAGCTTGTGCGGTTTTGTAGGAACACCCAATACTGTAGCCTTGACTTGGTTGCAGAATATGGCCAATGATTTGCTTCCATCATTTACGGTACACGATTCTTCCACCTCATTACATTGCTCACAGCCAAATGCTAGCTTGGTATACCAAATTCGAATGCAGGATCCAGCCACCACCACTACTCACTCGCACTACCCCACGACTTCTCCGGTTCAGGCGGGAACTTCGTATTCAAAAACTCTTTCTTCCGGTGCATGAAATGCACCGCCAAAAACTGCACCGGCTCACTCTGCGCCTCCTCCTCCCACCCGCGGTAAAACCCATAGTGCATCGTGCTCGGACACTTGTCCCCGGCTTTAAACTTGAAGAATGGGTGGCCGGGGGTGAGAGAAAAGTTATTGTCAAAGACGCAGAGGCCGGGGTCGGACCAGGAGGAGTTGAGGCAGCGCCGCGGCTGGCAGAGGGACTGCACGCGGAAGCGCGGTTGAATGCCCCGCTTGCGCAGGGCCTTGGCGGTTTCGGGTTTAACTCCTGACACACACGGAGGCTCCACCCACTGCCATGCAGGTACATGTACCCAAGGGGTGAAGGGGGTGAAGGGAGGAAAGGTGGATATGGATTGGGTTGGCAGAGGGATTGCACGCGGAAACGGGGTTGAATCCCACGCTTGCGGAGAGCCTTGGCGGTTTCGGGTTTGACGCCTGAGACGCATGGAGGCTCCACCCACTGCCATGGAGGTGGGAATGGGAGCAGGGAAGGCGTGATATGAGGAGCAAACAAATAGGTTGTCAAAGACGCAATGAAGGGACTACCCACTGCCGTGAGCGTGGATGGTTGCAATGGGGTTGGGAATGGGAAGGGGTTACGAAGGGGCGCGAAGCAGAGGTAGTCTGGCAGAAGGACTGCAAGCGTAAAAGAGGTTAGGTAACATCCACAAATGAGGATAGCAAGACCAGATTCTGGGTCCTATCACCCCCTTTGACCTCCCTTCACCACTCTTGACCTTTTTAAATCCGTCTCCATCCATTCTAAACCGCTCTCCACCGCTCTCACCTGCAGCCAGCAGCCTGCAAATGTGTACCAGCCCATAATCGTAACGTCCACGTAGGAGGGCAGCAGCACGAGGTCTTGGGTGTCCTTGTCTCCCCCGAACATGGCGGAGTCAAAGACAGCGTGCAGGAAGAGGCACCAGTCGACCAGCGCTGCATATGACATGAGGGCTATGTGCGTGCCCACTCCTGGTGGGCGGAGAGGGAAGGGTGCATGGGAGATGAGGGAAAGGGCTGAGACTAAGGGTACCGGACAGCAAGTCAGGGTATGGGAGCAGCTGTGAGTCAAAGACAGTGTGCAGGAAGAGGCACCAGTCGACCAGCGCTGCATATGACATGAGGGCTATGTGCGTGCCCACTCGTGCATGGGAGGGAAAGGGGGTGGAGAGAATGAGAAGATGGGAACTTGCTGCCATGTGGGACAGGTGTGTGCGGCACATGCTGAAGAGTGTAAGAGACTGGGAGCAGCGGCGAGTTGAAGACAGTTGCAGGAAGCGGAAGAGAGTGAGCGGGAGGAGAGGAAGCATTCAGCAGCACCCACCTGCAGAGGAGTACTGAGTGGGCCTCAACGGAGGGCGAATGCTGGGCCAGCGTGCAGGGAGAGCGAGGTCAGAGTTAGGGAATAGCCATGCCGCCACCTGAGAGGCGTTTACGGGAAGCAGAGAAACAGGAGGTGATTAGAGCGAGGGATATAAGAGTGGGTGCGATTACAAGTGTGCGTCACCTGGGAAGCACTATTTTCCTTAAAAGAATCAGTGACTGGGAGGCGAGTGGGAGTGGCACCTGAGACGCATTGGCGAAGAGCATGACTTCTGTTGCCAGGTGGAATATGCGGCCATAATTATGGCGCTCCATGAACTTCTTTAGTATGAACCAACGGACCTGATGGGAGGGAGGGGGGAGTGGAGGAGGGAGAACAGAACAATGACCAAGGGGGAGTGGGAGAGGTGGAATATGCGGCTATAATCATGGCGCTCCATGAACTTCTTGAGTATGAACCAACGGACCTGGGGGGAGGAGGGAGTACAGACAGCAATGGGAGAGGTAGAGAGCGTTGGAAGAGGAGAGGGAGAGAGCGTTGGAAGAGGAGAGGGAGAGAGCGTTGGAAGGGAGAGGGGGAATATGCGACCGTAATTGTGCTGCTCGATGAACTTATGGAGTCTGAACCAACGCATTGTCTGAAGTCCCCTCATATTCTGCATGCTCCTCAAACGCCACCCCCATGTGGAAGAAGTCCCGACCGACACTCCCGACCCAAGCTGACTGCTGCTGCCGCTATCCCACACTGAAATGGAACATGCTCGCTGAATGGTACTCACATGCACATCGACAGGAGTGCCGAGGTTACGAATGAACCACTCGTACACCTCCTCGTACTCCGCATGCTCCTCGAATGCCACCCCCATGTGGAAGAAGAACTGGCGGCATTCCCGAGGGCCGATGAAATGCACCGCATTGTTGTGCTTGCGCGCCTGGCAGGAGCGCAGTACAATACAGGGGAATACAGGAAACAAGCAGGGCAAGACGGGGGATTGGAGAGCTTTTAGGAACCTCAAAAGCCAATCCCGAGGGCCGATGAAATGCACTGCGTTGTTGTGCTTGCGCGCCTGGCGACAGAATGATACAATACCGGGCAGTCCAGGGGAATACAGGGCAGTGTAGGGCAATGCAGGGTTTTTGAGGCGCCTCAAAAGAGCCACTCCCGAGGCCGACGAAATGCACTGCGTTGTTGTGCTTGCGCACCAAGCCAGGGAAGTATAGGCAAAAAAAGGGAGATATTTAAAGTTGTTTTTCGAGTTGTTTCATGCTACAGACAAACAAGTAGCCCGGTAGGTCATAAGAGACAACTCTATTTGCATAAGAAAGAGATTCTATGACCGGATATGCAAATACAAGTCGGCATCATTGACATCTCACCTCAGAGACGATCTTATAGACATAGTGTGACTTATGGCAGGGCGAGGCTCCTGGGCGGCCATGGTAAAACACCACCGGGACCTCCACTTGCACCTGATGGATGGATGGGCGGCAGTGGAAGAATGGGATGGAGGTGAATGAGCGCGAGTCTTGTGAGTGAGTGCGCTGTCCAGGTGACTTTCGAGGCGCCTCAAAAGATGTCCAGATGCTCCGCATCCACGTGACTCCGCGTGTGGCAGGGCAAGCTGATGGGCTGCCGGCGAGGAAGCTTCCATTACGGCCTGCATCTGGGGCATGAGGAGGTTCTTCAGAAGAGGAAGAGCGGTCGTGGGTATGTGGGGGGGGGGGAGTGACTTGCATGCGTCCAGGGCATAGTAAGGCTCCGCCCTACCTCCACTCCTCCCTTCCTGCCTCCCCCTCTCCCTTTTCCCCTTCCCTTCCCGGCCTGCCTCACTCCCCAACTCCCTCACTCCGGCCTGAGTCGACTCAAAAGTCACCCCACCTCCCCCCTCCGCCTTCCTTTCCCCACACCCGCAACCGCAACCGCACTCACGTCATTCGGGTCCCATTCGGGCAGGTCGGGCGGCGTGAAAGACGCCAGCGTGGGCGGGTCATCCCCGCTATCAACAGCCGCGGACAACGCGTTATAGAGCGCCGTGTCCGCGCCATACGCGCCGTACTCCTCCTCCCCGCCCTTCGCGCCGCCGCGCGACCACGCGTTAGGGCGGCCCATTAATGACAGAGTTAAATGCTCCACTACGTAACTTAAATTGTACGAAACTACTATCAGAATCGCTATGTATAAGCATCTAAGGCGCGGGGAGGCTTGGGGAAAGGGGCCTTTAGAGGGGGAGCTTGGGGAGTAAGGGGGGGAATACGGCGGGGAATACGGCGGGGAATACGAGGGGGAGTGCGGCGGGGATCGCGCGGTGGCGCGGGAAGCGTGGGTGAAAAGGGGGGCGCCGGAAGGGCGGAGCGAGGGGGAGCCGAACGTGGGGTGATTGTGGCGGCCGCTGGCGGAAAAGGTGCGCTCCATGGGGGGATGGAGGGGCGGAAGAGGGGGGAATCTGGGAAAGTAGGAGCGCTGCGACAATGGCGGGGTTGGTGCAATGTTATATGCGCAGCTGCTGATGCCGCCCTTCCTCGTTCATTCTCGCAAATTGTACGGGCCTCAAGGGACTAGCGTAATTCCCTGGTTGAGAACAAAACACTGTTGCGGGCTCAGCTATAACGGAGACTGCAAGCTTGTTGGTGCTTCGGGTCGGTGCAAGCTGGCGGGAGAGTGTTCTTCCGAAAAAGGCGAGCAAGTGCGGGGAGAGAGAAACATGAGAACATGGCTGATGGACGCGTGTAGTTGAGTGACGGGTTGTACGCAACAAGGGGATTACCCGATATTGGGATACTTACGTTAACACATGAGTGTCCACATCTTATAAAGCCGCAACTGTAGAAACAAGCATAGGTTGCAACTTGAGGAGGAGTAGTTGTTGTTATCCGCTTGTATTGGAGCATGCCCGTATGGCGTACAGGACGTGGAAGGTGAACGCCTGGCCACGTCAGAACCTCCCCTCGGCTCCTTTGTTTTGATTCCACGATGCCAGGGTGTCCACGACGTGGACGACAGAATCTCCCCCAACCCCGCTGAGCTGGTACTGTAACTTTGGAGGACTCAAAACTGGAAATTTTTGTTCCCCTCGATAATGCCGGAGCCACTCACCAAATGTTGCACACAGAAACAAACAAGCTCGACTTCCACCAATTGTCCCCCGGGCAGGATAAAACAAACTTCCGATCAGCTCCGAACCGCGTCGCCCGATCTGTGATGGAGCGTGCAGATGCACCCATCAGCCAGCCCTCATCCCTGAATCTGGACCGTAAGTGAACTTCATACCCCCACAGCTCACCATCACTGCCTTACCACTTAGCGCCATTCACATCCCTCCCGTCCCGTCGCGCTTTTTAAAGCGCGCCTCCTGCCTCTCTGTTGCTTCAGGAGCACATTAGTCGGAAACCGTGTTCGCATTCTAGTTGCAGTGTTTCTTTTCTACATCTACCTGTGTCCTTAGCGTTGAGACTCTTCCGTGCCTAGTGCCCCCCCATTCTCGATCCCCCTCACTGCACTCGCGACGTAATCATGGTGCGACGGGACTCGAACGAGCAGCAGAAGCTGTTAGCGCCAGTGCAGCCGAAAGTGCAGCCGTCGCAGAGCTACGCGAACTGGCTGTGCGACGCCATCGAGCGATTTCTGAATGCGAGGATAAAGACGCCTCCCAGCACGACGTACCTCACGGGCGTGTTCGCGCCCGTCTACAAGGAAATCGGCCCCGTCGCTGACCTCCCCGTCACCGGCCAACTCCCAGTACGTTCGCGCAATGTGGACCTCCAAATCCCGGATCCAGTACCCGTCAGTCGTACGTCTCAAACCACGTTTTTGTTCCCCCAGCGCCCCCATCTTCCCAACTTAATCCCTGTTACGCGTCGCGCTGGCCCCGCGCGACCAGGTTGCCTCATCTCTGACCCTCCAGCGCCCCCGCTTACCCCTACGCACCCCCGCGTCTCCCCCCTCTCCCCGCGCCCCCTTCACGTCTTCAACGCTCCCCCTCTCACCCGCGTTCCCCCCGGCAGGAGTGTTTGAACGGCGAGTTCGTGCGCAACGGCCCCAACCCCAAGTTCGCGCCCACCTTCAGCTACCACCTCTTCGACGGCGATGGGTGAGTTCGCGCGCGCGCGATAGAACTTTGCGTTGGGAGTGTGTGCGCGTAACTTGCAACGAGTGGTTCCCGCGAGGGTACCACCTGCTGGTTCCGCAACTCCAAGTGTGCGCCCACCTTCAGCTACCACCTCTTCGACGGCGACGGGTGAGTGCGCGTAGCTTTCGAGTCGCCTCAACTGTCGCGTCTGTACCCGCATTTTCTATACATCCAAACTACTCGCGTTGCGAGTGTGTGCGCATTAGCTAACAACCCCCCCTCCCTTCTCCCCCCCAGCTCCCCTTCCGCGCATACCTCTGTGTACGCGCATTAGGTAACAACCCCATCAGCTATCAACCCCCCCTCAGTGTATCCGCATCAGCTAACAACCCCCCTCCCCGCTCCCCCCGCAGCATGCTGCACGGCGTGCGCATCAAGGACGGCAAAGCGAGCTACGTCATCCGCTGGCTGGGTGCGCGCGAGCGTTGCGACGTCTCCCTCCTCTGTTCTCCTCCCACTCCCCTCTCCCGGTCCCCCTCCCCGCTCCCCTCCCTTCCCCCCCGCCAGCATGATGCACGGAGTACGCATCAAGGACGGCAAGGCGAGTTACGTCAACCGCTGGGTGCGCACGAGCGTTGAGACGTCTCCCTCTCCGCTCTCTCCCCCGTTCCCCCTCCCCGCTCTCCCCCCCGCAGCATGCTGCACGGCGTGCGCATCAAGGACGGCAAGGCGAGCTACGTCAACCGCTGGGTGCGCGCGAGCGTTGCGACTTCTCCCTCCTCGGTTCCCCTCCCACAATCCGTCTCCCCGTTCCCCTCCCCCGTTACCCCTCCCCGCTCCCCCCCGCAGCATGCTGCACGGAGTACGCATCAAGGACGGCAAGGCGAGCTACGTCAACCGCTGGGTGCGCACGAGCCGCCTCGAGCAGGAGTCGGCCTACCAGCGCGCCAAGTTCCTGAAATTCGGGGATATGCTCGGATACGCGGGGCTCGCCAAGATCTTTCTAGAGCAGCTGCGCAAGTGGCTGGGCGTGCTAGACCTGTCCCAGGGCAACGGCACCGGGAATACCGCGCTTATCTTCCACGCGCGCCGCCTGCTCGCGCTGCACGAGGGCGACGCGCCGTACGCGATACAAGTGCTTCAGGACGGCGATTTGGAGACGCAGGGGAGGATGACGTATGGCGGGCAGCTGAAGCACCCGTTTACTGCGCACCCGAAAATTGATCCTGAAACGGGCGAAATGTTCACGTTTGGTTACCAGGCCAAGGCGCCGTTCGTGACATACCGCGTGGTGACTAAAGCGGGGGAGATGGGTCCGCCTGTTAACATCACCATCTCCACGCCTGGCATGATGCACGATTTCGCCATCACACAGAATTACGCGATTTTCCTGGACCTTCCCTTGGAATTTGCTCCGAAGGAGATTGTCAAGGGCAAGATGCCGTTCCTGTGGAACCCGGACCGGCCGGCCAGGTTCGGCATCCTGCCTCGGTACGCGGAGAGCGAGGCAGAGCTTCGGTGGTTCGAGCTGCCGGCGCTGTTCATTTTCCACACGGGGAACGCGTGGGAGGAGCAGACGGAGAAGGGCGAGATGGAGGTGGTGCTGATTGCGTGCCGATTTGATGAGATGAACCTGGAGTTGGAGCAGATGGAAGAGGACAAGGCTGCCCGACTGTGAGTGTTGTGTGATGGCTGCGTGGCGCTTGTATTGTGGCTGAGTTGGTCTGGCTGAGAGTGGTGACTATGGGCCCCAGTACTTCATTGTGAAGCATAGTAGTTGGACTGTACACCCGTGAAGCTCTTCATTTCGAAACGCTTTGAGCTTCTAGCAGTTCCGACTCTGAGCATCATCCTTTTTGGCGGCTTGGTTCTCCTGACTCTGGTGGTGCATGATGGCTTCTGACTAACGGATGACCAATTAACGACCACTGCTAATCCTACTGACCAAATGGTATGAGGAACTGACCTTTGTCTGTGTGGCTGAGTGGGCTGTTGTGGGAGATTTGACGGAGGTGGTGCTGATTGATTGCATGCCGGTTTGATGAGATGAATCTGGAGCTGGAGCAGGTGGAAGAGGACAAGGCTGCCCGACTGTGAGTGCTGTGTGGCGTCACGGGTGGGTTTGGTTGGTCAATGAGTGTGCTAGAGGTTGCGAGTGCTGCTTTTCCTGCTCGATGTAATGCGTGGGTCACTGTGAAGTGGAGGTATGGACTCCAACTCTCCCTGTCTTTTCCATCCTACCCATCCCCCTCCAGCTACGAGTTCCGGTTCAACATGGCGACAGGAGAGGCATCGCAGCTCCAGCTCACCACGTTCGGATGCGACTTCCCCCGCATCCACGACGGCTACATGGGGCGGTGAGTTGATACACATGTGCTTCGTGATAATTATGCCGTGGTGTGAGCCGTGGGTGTGCCGTGTTGTGCGACTTCCTGCGTATCCACGATTGCTACACGGGGCGGTGAGTGGGTGGAGGGGCTGTGTGCTGTGGCGGGTGAACTGTACCATGGCCTGGTGAGTGTCATGCGGGTGCTGCGAGTTGGTTGTGCTGTGGGTGTTGTGTGTACGTTTCCTGGGTGTGCCGTGGGTGTGCCATGGGTGTGCCATGGGTGTGCTGTGAGGATGAATGCTGTGTGCACATTCCCGAGAGGTACATACACGTGGCAGCGAGTGAGGATGTCAATACGTTATTGATTGCACAAACTCTTTGCCATACAAGGCACATAAAAAACACTATTACTTTGGTATCTGGGCCGGCACGACCCGTTCAACAACAATCCCAGGCCTTTTTCCCCCCTCACTCTCCCCCTCTCCCCCCAATTGCAACCCACATAACAAGCAGCACTACGTATACGGTGCCTTATTTGAGGCATCACCCGCGTCTGCAGCATTGCATGCGGTCCTTTCTCCACCGCTTACTCCCTGCTTCCCTCCCCCTTCTTCCCTTCCTCTATCGCCCCCCACACAGCAAGCAGCGCTACGTGTATTGCGCCTCATTTGAGGGCATCACCCGCATCTGCGGCATTGCCAAGATAGACCTCCAAAGTGCCCCGGACCTCTCTGCACCGTACTACACCGTCGGTGGCTGCGTCTCAGGGTTCTTCAACCACGGGCTGGGCAGGTTCGGGTCCGAGCCTGTGTTTGTGCCTCGGAGCAACGAGGCTGGGCTGGAGGAGGATGATGGATATGTGCTCACCTTCGTATACGATACCAACACAGAGTGAGTGGCACTGGGACTCTCTTGGTTTCGCAATGCTGCCTCTCCAATTGTCTTGCTGTCTGTCCACCGCCCTCCTCCTGGGCTGGAGGAGGATGATGTATACGTGCTTACCTTCGTGCATGATACAAGTACAGAGTGAGTGCTGCTTGGGACTCTCTTGGGTTTCACAATACTCCTTCTCGGCCTTGTAGCCCGGCCAGTCAAGGGGAGGGCGTTGCGGCCCTGTCTAAGTGCTTTATTGTGCACGATACTGACACCAAGCGAGTGCCGCTTGTATCTCTTCATAGCGATCATAACTCTTCTAAGGCTCACAACGTGCTCCCTGTCTCTTATTCTCTGCTTCTAACCGCCCTCCATCTTTTCCCCTGCCCCACGTGCTCCCCTCCCCTCTCCCACCTCCTCCCCCCTATTCCATCACCTCCCATCTCCCGTAACAGCATCTCCGAGGTGGTGGTGTTGGATGCTAAGACAATGGCCTCGCCCCCTGTTGTCACTACCCCCACTGCACCCTTTCCCCCAGTCATTCACACTCCCTCACCCCCTCTCCACTCCCCCCCAAACATACCAACCAGCATCTCCGGAGTGGTGGTGCTGGATGCAAAGACCATGGCTTCAGACCCCGTTGCTACCATTCGCCTGCATTTATTCACACACCACACACCCCTTCATCCCCTCGCTCCCCAAACCAGCATCTCCGAGGTGGTGGTGCTGGACGCAAAGACAATGGCCTCTACCCCCGTCGCCACCATCCGCATGCCCCAGCGCGTGCCATACGGCTTCCACGGCATCTTTGTGTCAGAGGTATGGTGTGTTGGCATGGTGTGTGCACGCTATGAATGGTGTGATTGGTGTATGACGCATTGGTCAAGCCACCATCCATATGCTCCAGCGCGTGCCATATGCTCCAGCGCGTGCCATATGCTCCAGCGCGTGCCATATGCTCCAGCGCGTGCCATATGCTCCAGCGCGTGCCATATGCTCCAGCGCGTGCCATATGCTCCAGCGCGTGCCATATGCTCCAGCGCGTGCCATATGCTCCAGCGCGTGCCATATGCTCCAGCGCGTGCCATATGCTCCAGCGCGTGCCATATGCTCCAGCGCGTGCCATATGCTCCAGCGCGTGCCATATGCTCCAGCGCGTGCCATATGCTGCAGCGCGTGCCATATGCTGCAGCGCGTGCCATATGCTCCAGCGCGTGCCATATGCTCCAGCGCGTGCCATATGCTCCAGCGCGTGCCATATGCTCCAGCGCGTGCCATATGCTCCAGCGCGTGCCATATGCTCCAGCGCGTGCCATATGCTCCAGCGCGTGCCTTATGCTCCAGCGCGTGCCTTATGCTCCAGCGCGTGCCATATGCTCCAGCGCGTGCCATATGCTCCAGCGCGTGCCATATGCTCCAGCGCGTGCCATATGCTCCAGCGCGTGCCATATGCTCCAGCGCGTGCCATATGCTCCAGCGCGTGCCATATGCTCCAGCGCGTGCCATATGCTCCAGCGCGTGCCATATGCTCCAGCGCGTGCCATATGCTCCAGCGCGTGCCATATGCTCCAGCGCGTGCCATATGCTCCAGCGCGTGCCATATGCTCCAGCGCGTGCCATATGCTCCAGCGCGTGCCATATGCTCCAGCGCGTGCCATATGCTCCAGCGCGTGCCATATGCTCCAGCGCGTGCCATATGCTCCAGCGCGTGCCATATGCTCCAGCGCGTGCCATATGCTCCAGCGCGTGCCATATGCTCCAGCGCGTGCCATATGCTCCAGCGCGTGCCATATGCTCCAGCGCGTGCCATATGCTCCAGCGCGTGCCATATGCTCCAGCGCGTGCCATATGCTCCAGCGCGTGCCATATGCTCCAGCGCGTGCCATATGCTGCAGCGCGTGCCATATGCTGCAGCGCGTGCCATATGCTCCAGCGCGTGCCATATGCTCCAGCGCGTGCCATATGCTCCAGCGCGTGCCATATGCTCCAGCGCGTGCCATATGCTCCAGCGCGTGCCATATGCTCCAGCGCGTGCCATATGCTCCAGCGCGTGCCTTATGCTCCAGCGCGTGCCTTATGCTCCAGCGCGTGCCATATGCTCCAGCGCGTGCCATATGCTCCAGCGCGTGCCATATGCTCCAGCGCGTGCCATATGCTCCAGCGCGTGCCATATGCTCCAGCGCGTGCCATATGCTCCAGCGCGTGCCATATGCTCCAGCGCGTGCCATATGCTCCAGCGCGTGCCATATGCTCCAGCGCGTGCCATATGCTCCAGCGCGTGCCATATGCTCCAGCGCGTGCCATATGCTCCAGCGCGTGCCATATGCTCCAGCGCGTGCCATATGCTCCAGCGCGTGCCATATGCTCCAGCGCGTGCCATATGCTCCAGCGCGTGCCATATGCTCCAGCGCGTGCCATATGCTCCAGCGCGTGCCATATGCTCCAGCGCGTGCCATATGCTCCAGCGCGTGCCATATGCTCCAGCGCGTGCCATATGCTGCAGCGCGTGCCATATGCTGCAGCGCGTGCCATATGCTCCAGCGCGTGCCATATGCTCCAGCGCGTGCCATATGCTCCAGCGCGTGCCATATGCTCCAGCGCGTGCCATATGCTCCAGCGCGTGCCATATGCTCCAGCGCGTGCCATATGCTCCAGCGCGTGCCTTATGCTCCAGCGCGTGCCTTATGCTCCAGCGCGTGCCATATGCTCCAGCGCGTGCCATATGCTCCAGCGCGTGCCATATGCTCCAGCGCGTGCCATATGCTCCAGCGCGTGCCATATGCTCCAGCGCGTGCCATATGCTCCAGCGCGTGCCATATGCTCCAGCGCGTGCCATATGCTCCAGCGCGTGCCATATGCTCCAGCGCGTGCCATATGCTCCAGCGCGTGCCATATGCTCCAGCGCGTGCCATATGCTCCAGCGCGTGCCATATGCTCCAGCGCGTGCCATATGCTCCAGCGCGTGCCATATGCTCCAGCGCGTGCCATATGCTCCAGCGCGTGCCATATGCTCCAGCGCGTGCCATATGCTCCAGCGCGTGCCATATGCTCCAGCGCGTGCCATATGCTCCAGCGCGTGCCATATGCTCCAGCGCGTGCCATATGCTCCAGCGCGTGCCATATGCTCCAGCGCGTGCCTTATGCTCCAGCGCGTGCCTTATGCTCCAGCGCGTGCCATATGCTCCAGCGCGTGCCATATGCTCCAGCGCGTGCCATATGCTCCAGCGCGTGCCATATGCTCCAGCGCGTGCCATATGCTCCAGCGCGTGCCATATGCTCCAGCGCGTGCCATATGCTCCAGCGCGTGCCATATGCTCCAGCGCGTGCCATATGCTCCAGCGCGTGCCATATGCTCCAGCGCGTGCCATATGCTCCAGCGCGTGCCATATGCTCCAGCGCGTGCCATATGCTCCAGCGCGTGCCTTATGCTCCAGCGCGTGCCTTATGCTCCAGCGCGTGCCATATGCTCCAGCGCGTGCCATATGCTCCAGCGCGTGCCATATGCTCCAGCGCGTGCCATATGCTCCAGCGCGTGCCATATGCTCCAGCGCGTGCCATATGCTCCAGCGCGTGCCTTATGCTCCAGCGCGTGCCTTATGCTCCAGCGCGTGCCATATGCTCCAGCGCGTGCCATATGCTCCAGCGCGTGCCATATGCTCCAGCGCGTGCCATATGCTCCAGCGCGTGCCATATGCTCCAGCGCGTGCCATATGCTCCAGCGCGTGCCATATGCTCCAGCGCGTGCCATATGCTCCAGCGCGTGCCATATGCTCCAGCGCGTGCCATATGCTCCAGCGCGTGCCATATGCTCCAGCGCGTGCCATATGCTCCAGCGCGTGCCTTATGCTCCAGCGCGTGCCTTATGCTCCAGCGCGTGCCATATGCTCCAGCGCGTGCCATATGCTCCAGCGCGTGCCATATGCTCCAGCGCGTGCCATATGCTCCAGCGCGTGCCATATGCTCCAGCGCGTGCCATATGCTCCAGCGCGTGCCATATGCTCCAGCGCGTGCCATATGCTCCAGCGCGTGCCATATGCTCCAGCGCGTGCCATATGCTCCAGCGCGTGCCATATGCTCCAGCGCGTGCCATATGCTCCAGCGCGTGCCATATGTATTCCACAGCATCTTTGTGTCTGGTGCCTGGTGCTTTCTGTGTGCATGATGCATGACGCATGGTGCATGGGGCATGGTGCATGGGGCATGGAGCATGGCGCATGGGGCATGGCGCACGGTGTAAGGACTGACCCGTGCGCCATGGTGCCATTCAATGAATCCATGGCACGTTAGTCCTTTTGAGAATTCTCAAAAAACACACGCTATGTAAGTCCGTTGAACACATTCATCCAGGTAAAGTAAAGAGTGCACGTGGTCTCATGAACACATTGTTGCCTCCTTCCTGATGCCATACTGCAGGATCAAATCTCCTCCCAGCTGCCAGAGTAGCACGTGCAAGCTGCTGTTGGATTCTGTACTCGCTTGAGAAAGACTCGTTAGCAGACACTAGAAGCAGCAGCTGTGACACGGAGCTGACAGCAGCACAGGGTATCTGCAAGTATCCGTGCATATGTTGGTTTAGGTGTGTAGTGTAGAATCAGCCTTCAGAGCTCCCGTGTATCATCGCATGTATAGAAACCGTACCCCTTGAATGTGCTCGCAGCTCTAAGGCATAACTCCACACAGAAATGTGAAGAAATGATCCACCCCACCCTCAACATTCTCACCTTCACAAGGTCTATGAACCCCAATGCCAGCTGACCACAGCTCACTTGCACACACATGTCATATCGCCCATACATTGACCCTTCTGCAATATACGACCGAATACCTAGTCAGACACACAGTTTGTGTTCAACTAACCAATATTATAATTTTTAAACACATTGATGTTTTCAAAATTGTGTATTGTGAAAGCGAAGCTGCCTGTACCGAATATTTGGCAGCGTCGAAGCGCGCTAAACGCCCTTCTCCAACTACAAAAACCGTGGGTTGGAGTTCATTCCCTCCACCCACGTTTCTCGTTTTTCAACGGCTCAATCAACATCCCCGTTCGAGTAGTTCTTTTCCCCGTCCAAGCTGGCTAGAACTCGCACCCTCCCCAGAGGCGAGTCACCCTCAACACTTCTGCAAGACATTTTCAACCACAACCGCTCTACAATGGCGTCTACGCCGGCACTTAGGACGTGTGTGAAACTAATTTTGGCACCAAGTTTAGGTTTTTGATTCGAATGTAGCAATTGAACGCTAAGCGAACCTTACTCGATTTTGAGTCATTGCAAAGTTCGAACCGCAGCTGTCGAAAGTTGTAAACACACAATCACACGCGCAGGTGCGAATCTACAAGTTCGAGCCTGTAGGGGGAGAACCGAACCGCGAGTAGGGTGCGTAGGTTACCCAGTATAGGCATCTTGACAGCGCGACACGTCAACGAATCGCGTGCCCCAAAAGTTCACTCTAGAGTTCCACCTCATCTCCCTACCTGTCCCCGAGCAGACCACCAGCTACAAAGGTGTGAGTGTTTTGCATTTCGCCAACTCAGCATTCCGCCATGTCTCTCATTGCGCTGATGCGCTTCCTTGGCATTCTCATTCCACCACGTCATCGTGCCACGCCAACATCCACGTGGCGAGCTTTGCTTGTGGGGGACCGTTTATGGTTTCGGTCGTGCCTCTATTGGTGCACGAATGTGTTGCGAGTGTCGCACACTCCTCGTACGTGCCTGGAACCACACACGTTCACTACAACGTGCAAAATCACGTTTGCTCATACACTCGAGTCTTGTTCACTTTTCGGGGCTCGAGTTAGGTGGGAGGGGTAGTGAAACACCCATTTGGCGAAAACGTTTGCGAACATTCACGAAATTGGTTACCACCCTAAGTTCGAACCCATTTTCGAACTGCAATTAGTTTCACACACGTCCTTAACCGCGGCAATTCGTCTGCGCCGAGTTCCGACACCGACCGTAACGCCCGAGAAATGACGGGCGATCGCCGTAACAAGCGCCGGGCAGAGGAAGGATCGCCCGCCCCAACCGCCGTGGACGTGCTGTTGGGCGGGCTCGAGGTCAACAAAAACTCGAGCCCGCCCCAGCAGCAGCACCCCTCGGCCCCTGTGGCGCCTGTGGCGCCTGTGGCGCCTGAGGCGCGTGTGGCGCAAGTGGCGACGGCGGCACCTGCAGCACCTGTGGCGCCACACGCGCCTGACGCGGAGCACACGCCGGCGCCTGTGGCTGGACCGTCGCGTCAGCGCCAGAGGCGCCGAACAGCGACTTCTTCTGACGCGACGACCCCGGCGTTGACCAACGCGTTGACTCCGGACCAGGTCGCCGCGCTTCTGTCCCTGTTACAGCAACACCCGGCCAGCGTTACAGCTACGGAAATTGCACAACCCGCGGCCTCTGCATCTGCTAAAAAGGAAAACGCAAAAAGAGAAAAAGGAGCGCGAGGAACAACGGCGAACCGGCACGACAAGGAAGCACCGGCCAGCATCCCACCTGCGCCAGTGGCCGACAACGACACCGACGGCTCCGACGACGATGATGGTGAGGCTCCGGTCCATACCAAAAATTTTAATTCCATGGAGCATCTTCCCCCCCTCCCCTCTACTACTAACACCACTTGGTCGGCGGCGACGTTCAACGACGCGCACGTGCGGGCGAAAGCGGAAATTCTGGAGGACATGCGGGCCTACCTGAAACACGCAGAATACAAGCTGCAGCACGGCGACTTGGCGGGCGGACTCGAAATGGTCGTCGCCGCCCTCGACGACATTTCCGCGCGCTTCGAAATGTTTCAAGTCGAAGACGCCTCCGACGACCGCGTTGCCAAGCGCTACAAAATGTACCTGCAGAAAAGCCTTCTCACTTCACGCCCGTTCAAGCAAGCCGTCGCGGACGTGGCTGCCATGGACCGAGCGGCGGGCGCTCACGCTCGCTCCCACCGCGGTGGAACCCATGGCGCCATGGCGTTCGCCCCAAAACGGGGCCCTCCAACCTCGGGCAATTTCCAAGGCTTTCGTGGTTCGTGTTTCCGCTGCGGCCAGCCAGGCCACGTTGCCAATGCCTGCCCTCGGAATGGGCACGGGGGCCAAGGACCCGCACCGGTTGTGTAGGGTTCGGCTTATGGCGAAGTGCGCCACTCGGCGCGATGCACGGTGCACTCTTGAGTGCTTAGACCGTGGGCAGCCTAGTAGGGCTTGCGGTGGCCATGGGCCAGCCCTAGGATAGGGTGGTAGAATTTGGCCATAGGCCTAGCTTTGGGGAAGAGGAAGAATGCCTCTCGGTCCCCTAGGATAGGGTAATAAAGTATGGCCGTAGGCCTAGCCTTGGGGAAGAGGAAGAATGCCTCTCGGTCCCCCGGATGCCCCAATTGATGGGATGAGAAGCATGCTAGTAGGCATGACAATGCATGACCATGCGAGATATGGATTTTATTAAAGGCCCCCCACTGGTTGCGAAGGATAAAAAAAAAAAAAAAAAAAAAAAAAAAAACAAAGGGAGAACGCGAGGAGGAGAAGGGGGAGGGGGAAAACGGGCACATTCCTCCCTCAAACCGCCACCATGCATGGCTGGGATGGGCAGCCCTGGTTCAATCTTTGGAAGACCAAAAAGGGAGAGAAGGAGCAAGAAGTACAAAAAAAAAAAAAAAAAAAAAAAAAAAAAAGGGAGAGAAAGGGGGGCATAGCAATGTCCCTAGCCCAAGCGAGGGCTCGCGCGGAAAGACACGAGCCCATGGCAAGCGAAGCATGCAAATGCTCAAACAATGATGGAAACACGCACAAAAAGAGAGGGAGAGAGAGAGAGAGTGTGTGTGTGTGTGTGTGTGTGTGAGAGAGAGAGAGAGAGAGAGAGAGACAGAGAGAGAGAGAGAGAGAGAGAGAGAGAGAGAGAGAGAGAGAGAGAGAGAGAGAGAGAGAGAGAGAAGAGAGAGAGGAAGAGTGAAGCATGATCGCGGTCCCAAGCATCAATCCTAGAGCAAGGTAAAAAAAAAAAAAAATAGAGCATGGGAAAGAGTTTGCCAAGGTGCGATCGGACGCCCAATATGGAATGATGACAAACCGTTCGTATGGTTCTCACTGCTGACGGTTCATCTTTCGCGCATGCATGTATATGTCACACGCATTCACTAATTAAGGCGTGTAACTTGATTGGTCCCGTTCAATTCCTTGCCGTACAAACAGGAGCACAACAATACGAGGTGCCTCGCGACGAAGACCCGTACGAATTCGCCGTCACGGACAAAACCGTCACACGGATGTGCGGTCGGCTTCGCTCGACCTTTGCGTGGTGGAGCTCATGGTGCCCTTGCAGCCTTGTTCTATCCATAATCGCCAACGGTTACTGGCTTCCATGGAGCCACGGCCCACCACCGGCCTTCCGGGAGCGGAACCACGCCGGTGCATACGCGCATGCTACGTTCACACGTACTGCCATCCAAGAACTCACAGAGACCGGGGCTGCAGTCGAGACAGCCGCAAGCGAGCTTACGTGCATAAGCCCACTTAACGTGGTCGAGCAGAGAGAAAAATGTAGGCTCATCCTTGACCTGAGAAAAGTCAACGCAAACCTCATCGTTCCAAAATTCAAGTACGAAGGACTCAGCCGCGTGGCAGACGTCGCACGAGCTGGGGATTGGATGTTTTCTATCGATCTCAAATCCGGGTACCATCACATCGACATCCATCCCTCGTGCTGGAAGTTTCTCGGTTTCGGATTCGATGGGCGCACTTACTCCTTTCGTTCATTGCCGTTCGGTCTTGCGACAGCCCCATTCGTCTTCACGCAACTCATCAAGCAGCTAGCCCGTCGCTGGCGAGAGCAAGGCATTCGAGTAGTACCATACGTGGACGACATCTTATTCCTTTGCCAGTCAAAAGCCCACGCGCAGGCCACGTGCCACCGTGTGATACTGGACCTTAAAGCAGCGGGTTTGGTGATAAATGCAAAGAAATCACAACTGTCACCATCGCAACACCTTCGATTCTTGGGTGTGGAGCTAGACACGGTCACCGGCCGATTTACCATCGGTCCCGAACGACGAGCCTCACTTCATGCAACCATTCGGAACCTGTTGAGCGCAAGCAAGGCCTGTCGACCCGTCTCAGTTCGCCAAGTGGCCAGAATCACAGGCATGCTCGCGTCAATGGGCGTCGCGCTGGGTGCAACAGCTCGTGCCTTCAGCCACGCCATGCTACAAGTGATCAATGACGCACCTTCATGGAAAAGCAGCGTGATCATCCCCCCACCTGCGGCTGAGGAGCTAAACTTCTGGCTCGAAGAGTTTGATCGGTTCAACGGTGCGCCGTTTCACGTTCGAAACAGCTACGATGCTGTAATCCATGTGGACGCTAGCGCTCACAGTTGGGGCGCCACTTTGACCACCTTCCCTGGCGGCCTCGAAGAAGCCAGCGCAACAATGCCAGAGCCACTGCAAGCGACGTCCAGCACACGGAGGGAGATCGAAGGAGTGCTTTGGGCACTCCAAACATACTCCAGCAAGATCAGACACAAACATGTTCTTGTGCGGGTGGACAATCAGGGCGTCTTCTTCATCCTTCGCAAAGGTGGCTCGCGCAGCCCCGACCTTACCACGGCCTGCCAAGCCATCATTCGGATATGCATGGAGCACGGCACGCGTCTAATCATCGAATGGATCCCACGCGAGCTAAACTCACACGCTGATGAGCTCTCAAAATCAGTCGATCATGACGACTACTCGTTGAAGACGCCGTGGTTCCGCATCTTAGAACGACGTTGGGGTCCCCATTCCATCGACCTCTTTGCAAATCCCCGCAACTCTCAGCTGCCACGCTTCTGCACGAAAATTCCTCACCCACTAGCCACCGCAGTAGACGCATTTTCGCTCGCCTGGACAGCAGAAAATAGCTTTGCTTTCCCCCCGCCCCACTTAGTACCGGCCGTCCTCCATCACGCACAACGCACCCATGCATCGCTCACACTGATCATCCCACACTGGCCGGGTGCAAACTGGTGGCCACTCATACAACCTTCCCCACGAAACTGGGCACCGTACATCCACGCGCACATTCCCTTGACACACGGCAGCCAGTGCCTGGCAGCGGGAACACATTCCACTGCCTTTTCAGGCACCGGATTACCACACAGCCCAATGATCGCACTTCGGGTGGTATTTGACTAATTGAGAGCGTACGTGCCTTGTGTCCAGATCTGCTACCAAAGCTACACAACCAACTCATCAACATGCTCACACAATCGCGAGCGAATTCGACGATCCGTACATACGAACCGTACTGGACCAAGTTTCGGGCCTTCTGCACAAAGGTGGATCTTCCCTTTCTTCCCGCGTCCGACATGGCCCTCGCGCTATACTTGGTGCACGCAATCCAACGCAAAGCAACCTTGTCTGTAGTACAGCTCACGTGCTCGGCAGTCAGCTTCGCCCATCGCATGACTGGAAGCAAATGCCCGACTGTCGGACCGTTCACCACCCAAGTGCGGGACTACGCGAAGAGACACTGCCCTCGCCCTAGTCGTTTGAAGGAGCCTGTATCAATCCAACAAGTTCGGGACATGTCCGCGAACTACTTGCAGTCGGCCAATCCTGCTGAATTTCAGAAGGGGTTGATCCCTATCCTCATGTACTCCGGATTTTTACGCTACTCCGACCTGGTTGCCATCCAGTGGCAAGACATCCAATTCGACGACGAAGTCATGTGGATCCTCATCCCACACTCCAAAACGGACCAGGCTGGTCGTGGAACTTGGATCCCCATCGCAGCAACGACGGACCCCTGTTGCCCAGTGCGCTGCACCCAACGCTTCATCCAACTCGCAGGCTATGGCCCGCATTCAGAAGGGTCGCTGATTCGCGTTTTTGGCCATGCTCCCGCCGACAAGGGCCAGGCCAAGCCACCCTCGTACACAACGATCCGGAACTGGTGTAAAGAAGCATTCGCAAAAGTTGGACTTGGGGAGCAGCAGCTCGGCACGCACTCCTTCCGAAAGGGCGCGGCAACCGTAGCAGCCAACATCGGCGTTCCGGACAGGATCTTCAAAAGGATGGGCAGGTGGCGAAGTGACACAGCCAGAGAGATGTACGTGACACCATACGTCGGACATCTTATCAAGGCATCCCGCGACCTACAGGACCCGACATACGCACTGCCCCCAGAACAGCACGCGGAGGCACTCTTACGCAACCGGAAGCCACCACTGCCCATGTCTCAGAGGCCCCAGTTGCAATGAGAACGATGCCAAATTATAAGGACAAGAAAGCAAGCTTTCTCAATATTATAATTTTTAAACACATTGATGTTTTCAAAATTGTGTATTGTGAAAGCGAAGCTGCCTGTACCGAATATTTGGCAGCGTCGAAGCGCGCTAAACGCCCTTCTCCAACTACAAAAACCGTGGGTTGGAGTTCATTCCCTCCACCCACGTTTCTCGTTTTTCAACGGCTCAATCAACATCCCCACCACCCACCCCGGACCAACTACAAGACCACTGCTGCTTGGACGGACGACTCTATAGCTAGTAATATTTGTATGTACTAGCATGTGTTTAAGAACGATGCATATGTTGTAATAAGCACGTTGCAATGAGAACGATGCCCAGTTGTAATGAGAACGATGCCAAATTATAAGGACAAGAAAGCAAGCTTTCTCAATATTCAATATTGTGTGGCGTCTCATCTCATCTCAGCATGAATGCTTCTCAAAACTCCAGCCACGCTGCTGCTACCAGCATCAGCAGATTTTAAGAAACCCTACTTCGCTATCTGCCTGCCAACCTCCCAAAATCGTCACCATGTGTGCTACCGCAACAAGGTAGGACCCCTCATGATGCTGCTGACCATCGTCTGCTTCTGCCCGGCCCAGTAGCCCGAAAGACCATCCCATCTGGCCCTCCTCATGCCATGCCAACCTCCCTCCCCTTACATGTCCTCTCAGCTCCCATCAAGAAGACGCCGAGAACCCTCTCACGATGTTGCCGATCATCTTCTGCTTCTGTGCAAAAGTCCATGAGGGGTTGTTCTGCCACACAGCACGGCCACAAGGGCGGGGAACGGGGAGAGGCACACATGAACACGGGCGGGGAGACATGCAGGGAGATTAAACTGCAACCAACCATGCAAGAATGCACCGTCACTTGAGGGGCTGTCCTGCCACACAACAAGTAAGGCAGCACGGCGCGGGGAAAAGAGTGCAAAGAGAGGTGAGCGTGAGCATGGCAGGAGGAAATGCGTGCTCTCCATTCAAAGGCATGGTACAATCTGCGTGTCAATCAATCACAGTCTAGTGTCTGCCCATACATCCACCTACAGTCACACCACATAGGCTTGCACACCCCATCTTCACTCGCCTCCCACCACCCTCTACAGTCACACAAAAACTCAGAAGCTGAAAAGCTATCATTTCAACCCAAAACAGACCTTACACTCTGAGCCTTACACTGTGAACCTTACACTCTGAGCCTTACACTGTGAACCTCACACTCTGAGCCTTACACTGTGAACCTTACACTCTGAGCCTTACACTGTGAACCTTACACTCTGAGCCTTACACTGTGAACCTTACACTCCGAGCCTTACACTGTGAACCTCACTCTCCGAGCCTTACACTGTGAACCTCACACTCCGAGCCTTACACTGTGAGCCCCAAATCGAGCCCTAGAACCGCAAGCCTACCTGCAGGGTGAGCAGAGCGCGCTTGGTGAACGCCACGGCCTGCGGGGACACGCCGGCAGGAAGCTTCTCGGCGGCTTCCTGCAGCGCCTTGTTCTCCTGCAGCGCTGTCATTCGCTGTGGCCCCGCATACAGCTCCACCAGGGCCTCGAGCTCCTCCGCACGGGAGAGGCAGCTCTGCAGGGCGGACTGGGGGAGGTGTGGGAAGTGGGGAGGGAAAAGGGGGTAGGAGAGAGAAACGGGGAGGAGGAAGCGGGTCATTCGCTGCAGCACCGCATAGAGCTCCACTAGAGCCTCGAGTTGATCCGCGCGGGACAGGAAGCTCTGCAGTGCGGACTGGGGGAGGGAGAAGGGGAGGACGGAACAAAGAGGAAGGTGGTCATTTGCACCTGGAACCGCGGTCACTGAGAGTTACCGAGGAAGGCGGTTCCTCAGTGACCTTCGGTGACAGCACCGCAGGGAAGGCGTGTCATGCCCGTGACTGTGTCAACCCCTCACACACAGACGCACAGACAGAGACTGACCCACAAGGACCACACGATCACCCTCACAGTGCCACACAGCCCGTGAGCGCCATAAACCTTGCTTAGCCGCCACCATCACCTCCTCCAGCGACGGTGCTGCTAAGGGGGCGGTACTCCCCCCTCCTCCTCCCCTTCCTCTTTCTCTCCCTCCTCCCCTTCCTCTTTCTCTCCCTCCTCCCATTCCTCTTTCTCTCCCTCCTCCCCTTCCTCTTTCTCTCCCTCCTCCCCTTCCTCTTTCTCTCCCTCCTCCCCTTCCTCTTTCTCTCCTCCTCCCCTTCCTCTTTCTCTCCCACCTCCATTTCCTCTTCCTCTTCCTCTCCCTCCTCCCCTTCCTCTTCCTCTCCCTCCTCCCCTTCCTCTTCCTCTCCCTCCTCCTCTTCCTCTTCCTCTCCCTCCTCCCCTTCCTTCACCTCTCCCTCCTCCTCTTCCTCTTCCTCTCCCTCCTCCCCTTCCTCTTCCTCTCCCTCCTCCCCTTCCTCTTCCTCTCCCTCCTCCCCTTCATCTTCCTCTCCCTACTCCCCTTCCTCTTCCTCTCCCTCCTCCCCTTCCTCTTCCTCTCCCTCCTCCCCTTCATCTTCCTCTCCCTCCTCCCCTTCCTCTTCCTCTCCCTCCTCCCCTTCCTCTTCCTCTCCCTCTTCCCCCTCCTCCCCTTCTTCCTCCTCCCCATCCTCCCTTCTCCTTGCAACAAACCGCCTCGTGTCTCGCTGGGAGAGCAAAGGGCAAGCAAAGACATCGCATGTACGCAACGTCGGCATTCTCTCAAGAGAAGACGGCACCCGAGCCAGCTGCTTGCACTGACGCAATCTCAGCTCCTCAAGCCTAGGCAGCCGAGTGAACGACTCTGGCAAGCTGCGCAACTGCTTCAGTCCCGTTATCAGCATACTCGTGAGGGAAGACAGCTTCCAAATATCATCTGGAATGGTTGAAATCCTGAGCTTGACAAGAACGCAGGATTGTAGGTTGGATAGATCCACGAAGGACTCTGGAAGATGCATCAGCTTGAAGCAATCAATGATTTCCAGCGTCTCGAGCATCTTCAGCTGCCCAAGAGACTCGGGCAGCTGCCGCATCGTGTACAGGCGAACTAGCTGCAAGTAACGCAGCCTCGAGAGTCCTCCAAGGGTATCAGGCAGTGCTTTCAGATTCCTGGCCCAATCAACCTGGAGCCTTTGCAGCTGCGAGAGTTGAGAGATGGAGCTAGGGAGAGAAACAAGTTTGTCCATCTTTAGGAGCTTCAGTTGTGTCAGAGAGGACAGCTGACCAAGGGACGCAGGGAGGCGTCTCAGGCCGTCCATCCCAACGATCTTGACCACCTCGAGCGCCTCCAGCCGTCCGATCCCCTTGGGCAGGTTAGTTACTTTAGGGCACTTCCCCACTACCAGGCTGGTGAGTGCAAACATGCCCGAGAATGAGGCAGGAAGGGCAGACAGGCGTGGCATGCAACGGAGGGACAGCTTCTTGAGGCTTTTCAAGCCGCCAAAACCGTCTTGCAAGGCGCCCCTGAAGAGTAGCGCGCCTTCAATTTCGAGGGTTTCGAGAGACGTCAGGCTGGAGAAGGATGGGGGAACGTGGGTGAGAACCTTGCATTCTAAGAAAAGATGGCGCAAGGAGTGCAGACCCTTTCCCATGTCGTCTGGCAGTATCTTGAGGCGTGGGCAATCGTAAATCTCCAGGTGCTCGAGGGAAGATAGCTGGGAAAGGGAATCCGGGAGTTGCTGCAGCCTCCCACACACCAAAATTTCCAGCTTCCGGAGAGATGTCAACTGCCCGAGGGATTCGGGCAGGCGTGTGAGGTGGTAAAGGCGGTTCAGACTCATCGTTTCCAGAGCAATCAGCTGACCGAACTCCTCGGGCAGAGACGTCAGGCTCACGATATTCACGAGGGAGAGCTCTTGAAGCGTGCTAAGAAGGGCGATCGAATCAGGCAAGGCCGTGAGATTCCTCAAGTTCAGCGAAAGTGTCAGAAGCTCTGACAACTGCCCAATATCTTCGTGCAAGGCTGAAAGTTGTGGCATGTCAAGGGTGAGGCTGGTGAGTGACGGCAGGCGGAAAAGAGACTCGGGCAGAGACGTGACATCACTGCAACCCTCGATCGTTAGAGTCTTCATTCGGTGCAGATGCTCGAGAGCCTCAACCAAGTCGCGCATTCCCGTCACGTCAAGCAGAATGAGGGTTTCGAGCGCCCGGAGTTGACTGAAATCGACCGGCGACGGAAGAATGGTGCATTGTCGAACCTCCAGGACGGCGAGAGACGAAAGCTTGGTGAAAGAGGCGGGCAGCTGCAATGTCGAATGGCTCGAGCAGCCAATGTGCAGCTTCAGCGACGTTAACGAAACCAGATTGCCGAAATCCCGAGGCAAAGTCTCGAGGTTATAACAGTTCAGCATCAGGCTATTGAGAGAGTGTAACGAGGTAAGAGTGTCTGGAAGATGCGTGACGCTTGCCGTGAGGCTGAAATTCCTAAGCAACGTGAGCCGGTCGATCGACGGGGGAATGGAAGCGCGCTGCGAACAATACAGATCAAGATCTTCGAGTCGCGTACATCCCTCGAACAGCACAACGAGATCCTTCTCAGTTACAACTCCGTACCTAGATCCACGTGATTTCGGTCCAACGCGAAGCTCGGTCAAATTAGGACACGTCCGGGCGAGGTGAGAGAATAACAAGTTTGGGGACGAGGTGAGGCTGCTAGAAGAGAGAATAAGCTTTCTGAGATTAATGAACGGCGACAGAAACCTAACGAGCCGACGCGAATCCATACGGAGGTAATCCGGCAAGTGGAGCTCGTGTTGCAAGCGACACGCGATCTGATGCCATTGCTTGCACACAAGCGCATGTTTCAGCCGGCCGTCAGGTTTAACCAGAAAACACAGAATCCTAGAAATCAGCTCCTCAGGAAGCCGTTGGATCGGCGATCCGACTGACATTGTGAAAGGAAGAAGAAACGAAGAGATGGCTGATCACCTCGATAAAGTCGCTACGAGTAATTAGATAACCTGACGATTATTCTTCAACAAGCTTGGTCAGACAAAAGACTCCCTTCAAAAGCTTGATAAGACAGAAGGCTGTGTGCAAATAGATCGAGGGTGAGGGTTGGCTACATTCTCGTCTCAAAAAGAAACCTTGGGCCTGTCAGTGCGTCGCACTCATCCGTAACATCAATTCGCGGAAGGGACGCGACACTGGGCGCGCAATGACGTGCAGTGACGACTTCCTTTCTCGACTCGCGAAATTCGCGTGCCTTCGCGGCCCCAATTCCGTGTGGGATGGTGACTCGGGTGGGGACATGCATGGTTGCATTGCCGCCCAAGCAAGTGATGGCAGCGTACTCGTTTGTGGGTGTGAGGCCGCCACCATTTGTGGAAATGTGATAGGGGTGCTAGAAAGCATCTTTTTTCATAATTTTGACTAGTGATTCTCTAGAATGTTTCTTGTGATTTTGTGTGCACGAGTGAAATTGCACCCTCTTTCCTAATCCCTTCGACAGGAAGCTCATACTCAGGAGTTCATAGAGCACCAAAACTATGGCAGCATCCGCCACCTGAGCACCGAAGTCATGCTTTTGCAAATGCCTCCAACTGCCATGTCTACTTGTTTCCTAAATATTATAATTTTTAAACACATTGATGTTTTTCAAAATTGTGTATTGTGAAAGCGAAGCTGCCTGTACCGAATATTTGGCAGCGTCGAAGCGCGCTAAACGCCCTTCTCCAACTACAAAAACCGTGGGTTGGAGTTCATTCCCTCCACCCACGTTTCTCGTTTTCCAACGGCTCAATCAACATCCCCACCACCCACCCCGGACCAACTACAAGACCACTGCTGCTTGGACGGACGACTCTATAGCTAGTAATATTTGCATGTACTAGCATGTGTTTAAGAACGATGCATATGTTGTAATAAGCCAGTTGCAATGAGAACGATGCCAAATTATAAGGACAAGAAAGCAAGCTTTCTCAATGAGATGCACTTGCACCTTCACAACAATCTTTCGCTCTCCCACCATAACGCTAATGCTGGGTAGAAACCTTGAAGTAACCCTTTTTCTCATATTAAGCTGATGCCATGAATCCCCTCACAGTGCTACCGATCATCTTCTGCTTCTGCCACAGAACCTCAATGAAACCATCTCATCCCACCAACCCCCCATCCTGTGAACCTCTCATCTTGCCAATGCTGGCTAGAAGCAACAAGAATATCCTTCTCCCCCATCATGCCGACGCCGAGAACCCCCGCACAATGCTACCGATCATCTTCTGCTTCTGTGCAAACGTCCACGACGGGTTGTTCTGCCACACAACACGGCAGCGAGGGGAGGGGAGAAGAGAGGCGTGTGAGTTGCAGAGAAATCTCTGTGGAAGGTAGACACAGAGGAGTGGTGGTTGACCAAGGAGGTAGAGAGAACTAGTCAAAGGAGGTTGATTGATGGGGTGCGAAGGCCTTACGTCCTTCAACTGGGTGAAGAAAGCTGGCGGATGCACAAACGCACTCTCACCTCACATTGGGACATCTTGGTACTATGTCTTCTGTACAAACGGGAGTGACCAATCATAGCGCCTGCCAGCACTGCTACCTACAGTGGCAGTAGAAAACCGTCTACTCCAAACAAATAGAAACCAGAAACCTTACAACCTTAGAACATGAAGACCCCGAGGGCTCACCTGCAGGGTGAGCAGAGCGCGCTTGGTGAATGCCACCGCCTGCGGGGACACGCCGGCAGGAAGCTTCTCGGCGGCTTCCTGCAGCGCCTTGTTCTCCTGCAGCGCTGTCATTCGCTGCGGCCCCGCGTAGAGCTCCACCAGGGCCTCGAGTTCATCTGCGCGGGAGAGACAGCTCTGCAGGGCGGACTGGGAAGGTGGGAGAAACAGATAGATAGAGAGCGACAGGAAGGAAGAAGGGCGTCATTCGCTGTGGCCTTGCGTACAGCTCTGCCAGAGCCTTTAGCTGGTCTGCACGGGACAGGCAACTCTGCAAGGCGGACAGGGAGAAGGAGGAGCAAAGGGAGGGGAAAACGGGAGGGGATGGAGGAAGAAGGGCGTCATTCGCTGTGGCCTTGCGTACAGCTCTGCCAGAGCCTTTAGCTGGTCTGCACGGGACAGGCAACTCTGCAAGGCGGACAGGGAGAAGGAGGAGCAAAGGGAGGGGAAAACGGGAGGGGATGGAGGAAGAAGGGCGTCATTCGCTGTGGCCTTGCGTACAGCTCTGCCAGAGCCTTTAGCTGGTCTGCACGGGACAGGCAACTCTGCAAGGCGGACAGGGAGAAGGAGGAGCAAAGGGAGGGGAAAACGGGAGGGGATGGAGGAAGAAGGGCGTCATTCGCTGTGGCCTTGCGTACAGCTCTGCCAGAGCCTTTAGCTGGTCTGCACGGGACAGGCAACTCTGCAAGGCGGACAGGGAGAAGGAGGAGCAAAGGGAGGGGAAAACGGGAGGGGATGGAGGAAGAAGGGCGTCATTCGCTGTGGCCTTGCGTACAGCTCTGCCAGAGCCTTTAGCTGGTCTGCACGGGACAGGCAGCTCTGCAGGGCGGAGAGGGAAGGGGAGGGGAGAAGGAAGAGCGGAGGCAAGAAAAAAGTGAGGGCAGAGGAAGGGAAGCGGGTGGGAGGAGGAGGGAAGGGAGGTCTTTCCAGGAGGTCGGCATTTCTAAACGCGCCATCAGCACCCCCAGCCACGGCACTGCAGGGCAGGGGCCTGCTGTCCCTCCGAAACCCCATTAACTCGCACACAGTGACAAGGAGAGATAGCGAGATGGAGAGACTGAGAGACAGAGAGACAGAGATATAGAGAGGCAGAGACACACGCCCACCCACCTGGAATTGTTGCTATGCATGCCTATGAGCGCTATCAGCACCTCCTCCAGCGACGGTGCTGGTAGTGTGGGGCACAAGGCAAGGGGTTCCTGCTTCTGCCTCTTAACAGCCTCATTCGCACAGACAGAGACAGACCCCACCCACCTGGAATTCTTCCTCGCTCTGCATGCCCGTGAGCGCCATGAGCTCTTGCTTCGTCGCCACCATCACCTCCTTCAACGACGGTGCTGGTGGGGGTGGGGGCTCTTCACAACCTCACTCACACAGAGACTGAGAGACACAGCCACCTCCCCACCCACCTGGAATTCTTCCTCGCTCTGCATGCCTGTGAGCGCCATGAGCTCTGCCTTGGCCGCCACCATCACCTCCTCCAGCGACGGCCCTTCACCCGCCTGCTGCTGCTGCTCCTCCTCCTCCGCCAGCAGTGGGTTGATGGGCGAGAAGTCGTCCGGTGTGATGTACTCTGGCTCGAAGTCCACCTGGCGGGAGGGGAGAGGAGAGGAGGTCGCGCGGGCATGAGCGATGTAAGAGATGCACGAGGTCTCATGCAGTGACTGCTGCCCCTTCACTGCAGCGGCCTCCTCCTCCTCCAGCAGCGGGTTGATGGGCGAGAGTTGTCTGGCGTGATGTACTCTGGCTCGAAATCCACCTGTGGGGAGACGTAAGGGCGATGGCAGGGAGAGGAGGGAGAGCGGAGCATGTGGGCGATGTGCCGTCATGCCCCTGCTCCTCCTCCTCCAGCAGCGGGTTGATGGGCGAGAAGTCGTCCAGTGTGATGTACTCTGGCTCAAAGTCCACCTGTGTGTGGGGATCGGGGCGAAGCTATTAGTGAGGCAGCCGTACACGTGCATCCACATCAAACCACCACGCACCTCTGTCAACCCACTTGCACCCAGCAGCAACAGCCCATCATCCACCCACCATGAACCGCTGGTGCAGCGCAGCGTTAGCCACATCGGCAGCTTCTAGGAAGTCCAGAAACTCCCCCACCTGCCGCTCGTCCTCCTCACTCCACGTCGACTCCTCTATAAACCTCTGCACCACACTCTCCCCCGTCACCAACTCCCCCCTCCCCCGCCTGCCCCCTCCGCCCACCCGCGCCCTCTGCTGCCCCCCCTGCCCCTCCGCCTGCCTGTCCATTACCAGGCCCATCCCCATTCCCATCCCCCCTCCCCTCTGTCCCCCCTCTCTCACCCCCCTCCTCTGCTCCCCCTCCCTCATCCCCCCTCTCCTCTGCCCCCCTGCTCCCCCTCCCCCCGCGCGCCTCCCCTCCTCGCGCACTCCCCTCGCTGCCCCCCCACCCGGGCCTTCCCCTCCCGGGCCTGCCCCGAGCCTGCGCCGGGACATGACCGAGCCAAGAGCCTCGGCGGCGAACTGGCTGACGGAGTCGCGGCGGGAGGAGGCTCGGGAAGAGTCCCGAGCCTTGGCCATAGCTGCGGTGAGGATGCCCAGGGCACGTTCGGTAGCATCCTCTCGAGAGAGGTTCAAGGGAGGAGGGTGCTGTGGTTGCTCTGGGTGCAGTGGGGGGGAATAAGCAGCTGCAGCTGCAGCCTTCCCTGCCTCCACCCCTCCCACCGGCCCATGCCTCTGCTTCTGCTCCTCTCTCTCCCCCTCCCTCCCCCTCTCCATCACCCTCTCCCTTTCCCCCTCCCTGCTCCCCTCCTCTCTTCCCCTCACCTGCTCCCTCGCTCCCTCTGCGCCTCTCCATCCCTCCATCCCCCGTTCCCGACTCAGCATTCCCCTCCCCGCGCCTGTTGCCGGACCTCCCAGGCTCGGCCGTACCAAGCCTGCCCCGCGCCCTGCCGGCATCAGCCCGCCTCGGCCCAAACCTGCAGACGGAGCCGCAGCACTCGGGACGCCCACGTCAGCAGCTGCCACGTCAGCTGCAGGCGGAGCTGACGTGTCTGACGGCGCGGCCACAGGAGCAGCTGGGGAGACGCCAGGGCGCATGCGAGGTGCGGGGGCGGATGGGGATGGCAGGGGGGGCGGCGCGGGGAAGGGGGGGCGGTGCGAGAAGAGGGGCGTTGGGGAGGGGGGCGGGTGAGGGGCGTGCGGGGGGGTGGGTGCTGTGGTTTGGGGAACGCCAGGTGGGGGCGGTGGAGCAAAGCGCGGAGGCGGAGATGGGGGGGATGGGGGAGATGGGGTAGCGGCAGCAGCAGCAGCATCAGGAGAGGATGGAGGAGCAGCAGCGACCGGAGCAGCAAGAGGGGCCGCAGCGGGAGGAGCAGCAAGGTCAGCGTGCGCGTCAGCATCTGTCGCCCGGCGTCTGAGCTTCATCCTCATCCGCATCTCCTCCCTCTCCCTCTCACTCAGCTGCTCGCTGCTGCCGCCACCCACGCCACCACCACTCACGACACTGTCGCTGCTCTCACCGCTGCTGCTCCCAGCAGCGACTGCAGCGGCAGGGGGCGCGGGGGGTGCTGGAGTAGCAGCAGCGGCAGGGGGAGGAGGGGCAGGAGCAGCCTGGGCGGCCTGGGCGGCAGGAGTAGCAGTCTGGGCGGCAGCTGCGGCGGCCTGGGCGGCAGCATCTTCCATCCGTTCGATCTCGCCCATCTCAGCGTACATCTCCACCAGCAAATTCCACGTCGGCGCGGATAAGACAAAACCCGCCGCCCGCGCCTCCCCCACCATCCGATCCGCCTCACCCAGGTCCCGCCTCCGCGCCGCGCTCCGGATCGCCGCCTCCTGCGCGCCGCTGTCCAATGCAACGCCGCCGGCACGCGCGTCGGCCAGCACGCGTGCCACGTCAGTATCCCTCCCCGCGCGCTCGTACGCGACGAGCATGCGGGAGAGGGCAGTGGGGGACAGTCCCGTGGGGGCACCGGCGGAGGGAGCGGAAGCGGGAGCGGGGGGAGGCGGAGAATGCGGCGGATTCACAGGAGAAGCGCTATCTACGCGGTGCGCCTCCTGTTGCGCGGGTGGGGGGAACTGGCTTGCGGAAGCCGCCACGGGCTGCTGGATTGGCGCACTCGGCGGAAACCTCCCGGGGGCGGGAAATCCGGGTGCTCTTGGCGCTCCCCATGACCGCCCATAACCGTGGGCGGGGGGACCTGCGCCAGGTCCCCATCCCCCCCTGCCTCTCCCCCTCCCCCACATGCCGCCGCCTCCCCCGCGGTCTGGGAAGCCGCGGCCGCCGCCACGACCTCTGCCCCAGCCGCCATCGCCGCCGCTGCCGCCGGCATTACCGCCGCCATTAGTGCCGCTACTGGCGGCGCCACCGGCGGCGCCACTGGCGGCGTCAATGGGGGGTAAGGCGGCAGTAGCGAAGGCTGCAGAGGGCGGCTCGGAAAGGGATAGGCTAGTAAGGGGAAGCGGAGGGGCGAAAAGACCGGCAGGACTGCTGACGAACGGCGGAGATGGCGCCGTAGAGATCGGCTGGCCGATCTGACGGCGGAGATGCGGCTCGAGCCGCACAATGCAGCGCCTCATCGGGACGACGAACGCTGCAGATCGGAGATCGCGGATCAGATGAGATCGCGCTCGACGGTGAAAAGCTCCGCGCAGCGGCGGAAAGAAACAGGCGGAAGGGCGTGCGGTGCGCGAGCGGATAAAAGAGCGAACGTTGAAGGTAGAGATCGGTACAGATGGGACCAGCGCGTCGCGCGGAGAGAGCGTGAGTGGACGGAGCGTGAGGATGGAGGAATATGGAAACGAAGGGGAAAAAAAGACCTCGCCGGTGGATGCGGAGAGCTCTGCATCCACGGACTTGGGCTCGGATGGACTTGGCTATGAGGGAGGAGGAAGCATGATAAGAAGCTGCGAGAAGCGAGGACACGGCTGTACGCGTTACACTGGAGACAGCACGATTTTGGAATAAGGCATTGGGTGATGATCTACGTCAACTACATTCCATGATTACATGCCTCGGACAAACGACACACACATTTTTGGATGGTAATATATAGATGGTGGCAACCTCTTTCATTCCCCTGCGGTAGCAGCTCGCATGCGCTTCTTCTGATGTTGCCCCATCATCCTTTGCTTCCTCTTCAGAGCAGCCGCCGCCTTGGTCGCAGATCTCCCAATCACCGACGGAGTTTCCGACAACCCAAAGCTCCGCGCAACGTGCCCCAAATGCAGCCTCTTGGGGTGGAAGATCTTTTTCAAGCTGCCCTTATGCGCCCCATACGCGCGCACAAACGACCGAAAAGCCCCCGTGGCAAGCTCCCTCAGCGCCGATTGCCTCCCCACCGTTGATTCCAACTCCTCCTGCCACGTTTCCACCGCGCTGTGATTGGCCAAAGCCTCCTCTGGGCTTACCTCCTTCCAAGCCGGCCGCCTGCGATTGGTCCGGGCAGGTTCGAAGGAGTTTCCGGGCAGGAGGGAGTCGAGGAGAGGGAGGAGCGGCATGGGGAGGAGGTGCACGTTGCAGGAGCGCAGCTGGTCCAGATACTCTGTCTCGTTGGGCAGCAGGAACAGCACCGCCTCTCCCTTTCGGCCAATGCGGGCTGTGCGCCCCACTCTGAAGAAAGAGGACCATTCAAATTCCATTCGGGGGCAAGGGAGACAGAAGAAGAGGGGTGGTTAGTGGGAGGCGCATGGAGCGCAGCTGACCCAGGTAATCTCTGTCTCGTTGGGCAGCAGGAACAGCACCGCCTCTCCCTTGCGGCCAATGCGGGCCGTGCGCCCCACTCCGGAGGAAAAGGGGGGGAAAAAGAGAAAGAGGAAGAAGGGTGGTTGAGTGGATGGGATGGGGATGGAGCGCAGCTGGTCCAGATACGTCTCGTTGGGGAGGAGAAACAGCACCGCCTCTCCCTTGCGGCCAATGCGAGCCGTGCGTCCCACTCTGGGAGTTGGGAGACGAAGCGAGAGTAAAGGTTAAAGGAGACGAGAGGGGTAGGTTACAGCAGAGGTTAGTACTGGTGCACTTTGTCAGCAAAGCACATAGATTGCAGGATGGGTTCAATGGAATGGGGTGAGTAGGAATGGGTGCGAAGCGGTTCGTACCAGTGGACATATTCAGCAGCATCACCCGGCGAGTCAAACTGAACGATGGTCTCCACAGAGGAAAAAGCCTTATGAGGCGCCTCAAAGGAGGGGAGTACAAATGGGTGCAATGCGGTTCGTACCGGTGGACGTAATCAGCAGCGTCGCCTGGCGAGTCAAACTGCAAGATAGTCTCCACAGAAGGGAAGACCCTTTGAGGCGCCTTATGAGTAGCAATGGGTCCAATGCGGTTCGTACCGGTGGACGTAGTCAGCGGCATCACCCGGCGAGTCAAACTGCACGATGGTCTCCACAGCAGGGAAGTCAAGGCCGCGCGCTGCCACGTCAGTGCACAGCAGCACACCACGTGGCGCGCTACGATAGGCCAGGAAGGCCTTGGAGCGGTCCTTCTGCTCCATGTTTCCGTGCAGCTTGAACACCGGCGCTGGCAGCAGGCCCTGCCCCTGCTGTGCTGGTTGATCGCCCTGCTGCTGCTCATGCTGTTGCTCTTGTTGGTGGTGGTGGGGGGAATCGGAGGTGAGGGGAGAGGTGGGGGCGGAGGAGAGGAGGGTGGCGTGGAACTCGACAGAGTCACACGTTGATAGGAACACCACCACCTGCATGGGGAGAGGAATGGGGGGTGGTTGGACAGGTGACATGGAAATGAGGTAAAGCTCAAGAGAGAGAGTTGCACGTGGATAGCAACACCACCAGCACCTCGCATTCATGGTCAGCAGGCGGTTGGTTGGGGGCATTGAAAGGAGTTGGATGCGGTGGATGAGCACTGATGCAGACAAAGGAAAAATGTAGAGAGAAGGGTTAAGGGAGTGGGACAAGGGCAGAGGAGCAGGAGTGCGATAGGAATAAAAGGCGGATAGCTAAACGGGTAGCTGACGTGGTCTACCTTGGAGGATGCTGACGTGGCAAGCTTGGAGCGCAGCAAAGCGATGAGCGTGATGAGCCGACAGCGACACGGGACTGGCGTCAGACAGGGAAGGGGAGAGGGGGGAGAAAGAAAGAGGGAGAATGGAGAGAAGGGTTGAGGAAGAAAACGAAAATGGAGGGGGGAAGGGTATACAGGAGGCGAGGGCAGGGCGAAGAGGAGTCCAGAAGAGGAGAGTATGAGTCAGACATGAAATGATGGGAATAGCACGCCCACACTCACGTGTGCGCTGGGCGCACACACACACCCACACCCACCTGTGAGAACGAACTGCTTGAGTTGCTCCGGGAAGACAAACGACCCTCCGCCACTCGGCCCCTCCTCCAGAACCCCGCCCTCCCGCCTCTCCTCCACCCTCGCCTTCCCTCCTCCCCTCTCCTCATCTCTTACTCTATCCTCCACTCCTCCCCTCTCCTCCTCCCCCCTCCCCTCCTCTCCCACACCCTTTCTTGACCCTCCCTGCAAAGCCCCCTGCGTGCCTGCTTGTGCCACCGCCATGCCTGCTGCTCCCCCTTTCTTGCTCTCCGCCTTGCCCACCCCGCCTTCACTGCCACCTTTGTCCAACACCCCATCTTCACCTTCCGACCTCTTGCCCTTCTGCCCCTTCTCCTGCTTGTGCTCCTTCTGCTCTGTTCTCTGCTCCTTCCTCTCCTCTTTCTTCTCCTTCCTCTCCGCTCGCCCTGCCTTCTTAACGGCTCTAAGCGCCTGCATGAAGAGAGGCAGGTCGTCATCATCATCATCATCATCATCAGTTCTCCTCCCCTACCTCCTCTCCTTCCTCTAACTCCTCCTCCTCATCATCTTCCTCCACCTCTCCCTCCTCCGCTTCCTGCTCCTCCTGCTCCTCTTCCTTTGATTCCTCCTCTTCCTCGTCTTCCTCCTCCTCTTCCTCCACTTCTTCCTCGTATTCCTCCCCCTGTTCCTCCTCCATTTCCTCTTCTACCTCTTCCTCCTCCTCTTCCCCTCTCTCCTCCCCTCCCAACTCCCCCAATTCTCTCTCACCCACCCCACCACCCTTCCCCTCCCTCTCTTCCACCCCACCTCCTCCCCTCCCCACCGGCCGCCCAGAAACCCTCTCCTCCACTCGCACGCTGCCACCTGTCACGCTCACAGCCACCGGTGACACCAGGCTGACGTCAGCCAGCTGCTCCACCCTTGGCCCGAGCGTGGCGGACAGCAGCATGGTCTGAAGCTTCCTGGAAGCACCCTGAGCACTCCCTCCCTGCATAAGACCATCTTGACTTAGCCTCTCTCGCAGCAGAGCGATGATTTCCTTGATGTCCCGCTCGAACCCCAGATCCAACAGCCTGGGGTTGGTTGTAGGGCGAGGGGTGGAGGGAGTGTGATGTGAGGGAGTGTGAGGGAGTGTGCAGCCGGGAGAGCCCAAAGGAGCACGTGTTGAAGCGATGATCCAGCAGGCAGCAGTAGAGCATCACAGCCCGCATGAGCAGAGCACACCCACCTGTCAGCCTCATCCAGCACAAGCCACCGCAGCCGGGAGAGTCCAAACGAGCACGTGTTGCGCAGATGGTCCAGCAGCCTGCCAGGTGTCGCGATGACAATGGCCAGCCCTTTGCGCAGGCGCGCCTTCTCCTTGCCGCGGCTCTCCCCTCCGATGCACCGCCCCGGCACGATCCACACAAAGCGCCGGCACAGCTGCTGCGCCACCTCCTCTATTTGCACACAGAGCTCTCGTGTGGGTGCTAGAATCACAGCTGCGGTGACGGGTTGGGGTAGGGGGGAGGAGGGGAGGGGGGGAGAAGGGGGAGAGGAGAGTGGTGGGTGATGCAGCTCGCAGGCATGATATGCACGATCCACACGAAGCGCCGGCACAGCTGCTGCGCCACCTCCTCTATTTGCACACAGAGCTCCCTGGTTGGAGCCAGGATGACGGCTGCAGTGAAGGGGGTGGAGGAGGAGGGAAGAAGGGAAGATGAGAGCGAGAATTTGAGGGAAAAAAGGGTGGAGGGAGAGGTAGAAGAGGTGCTAGTCACACTGTTATGACCCAAAAAGCTGCTGCGATGACGTGCAATGCACCTTGCGGACACGCATGAGTTGCTGCTCTGTCTGTCTGCAAGACTAACTCAAGCAGTGAGACTCACCCCACGCAGTAACACCCACCGTATGTGCCGTGCTTGCGGTCGACGTGCTGCCTGCAGGCCTGCAGGGCGTGCAGAATAGACACCGATAATGCCTGAGGATAAGACTTTCCATATGTGGCAAGACATACCAAAATTGCAGCACTCACCATACGTGCCGTGCTTGCGGTCCACCCGCTGCCTGCAGGCCTGCAGGGCGTGCAGAATGGGCACCGATAGTGCCTGAGCATAAAACTTACCATATGTGGCAAGACACACCCAAAATAGCAGCACTCACCGTATGTGCCGTGCTTGCGGTCCACTCGCTGCCTGCAGGCCTGCAGGGCGTGCAGAATGGGCGTCAGATAGAGAAGCGTCTTGCCCGACCCTGTGTCCGCTCGGATGAGCCTGCGGTGTGGGAGGGGAGGGAGGGTTGGAGGGAGGGAGGGAGGGAGGGAGGGAGGGAGGGAGGGAGGGAGGGAGGGAGGGAGGGAGGGAGGGAGGGAGGGAGGGAGGGAGGGAGGGAGGGAGGGAGGGAGGGAGGGAGGGAGCGAGAGGCGTGTGAGGCAGCAGCAGAAGTAGCAGCCGGCACAGCAGCAGCGTCTTGCACGACCCCGTATCCGTTCGAATCAGCCTTTAGTGTGGAAGAGAAGGGAGGGCAGGGAGGGGGGGAAGCAAGAGGCGTGTGAGAAGGCAAGAAACTACCTTGGATTGGGACGTAAAGCCATCTCAGGCAAAGCCGCAGGGAGAGGGCGAGAGGTAAGGAGGGTGAGAAGGTGATGAGGGGGAGGGCAGGGAAGGCGAGAAGGCAGAGAGGAGAGGGCGCGCTCACAGGTCTCTGCCAGCGAGGACGTGCGGGATGGCTGCTTGCTGCACGTGCGTTGGCGCTGCGAACCCCAGCTTCTCTGCAACGGGCGTAGAGGGCGAGTAGCGAGGTGGGCGGAGGGAAGTTCGGAGTGGGGTGGGGAGGTTTAGGGAGGGCGGAGAGGTTTTATCTGGCGATGGGTTTAAGTGGCGCAGGGATTATCTGGCATTGACGGGATTCACGCACCTTCAATGTGCGTCGCGAGCGTCTCGCAAAGCCCAAGGTCCGCGAATCTCCCCGACGAGAACACAACCCCTGAACCCCCCTCCGCCTCCGCGCCCTTCCGCTCCGCCGCCCCCCCCTCCGCCTCGCCGCGCCCCCCGTCCCCGGCGTACCCCGGAACTTTAACCTCTCTCCAACTCTCCTCGTGTCCCCCATTTTCCCGCTCCTCTTGCGCGGAACCAAGCAGCTTCTGCCCCTGCCCTTTCCGCTCACCCCACGCTGCACCGCCCGTTCTTCCCCCATTTTGGCGAAACGCTGAGGATCCTCTCCCCGCGCCCCTCCCCCGCTGCCTCCCCGCAAATCCCCCTACCGCTGCCCTTCCCCCCCGCCCTCCCCGGAAAGCCCCGCCGGAATCTCCGCCAGGAGCACTTTTTTCCGCCGCTCTCTGAAAAGCCCCGCTCCAACCTCCGCCTTGCGCGCGCTCACCTTCCCCGCCCCAACTCCCCCTTTGCCCGCTCCGTCCACCACCCCTGCCACCCGCCCCCCCTCTCCTGCCTGCCATCGGCGCGCTGTGCTCAAACCCGCGCTCCTTGGAACGATCCGCCTTCTCTACCCCACGTCAACTGCCCTGCCTCGTGAAAAGAAGATTCGATACAGTCCGTCGGAAGTGACTCTGGATGCTATTCGCGCCGACTTAGGAGTTGGTGCTGGTTTTTCTTGAGGTGGGAAAGTTTTGGGGATGGTGTGAGAGTTGGAGGGGTTTATGCGAGGTGTCTTGGGAGAATTAGGGTTCAGGGTTGGGGTGGGGCGGGATCCGCTTTGTGGCTTCCGTTACGCGCAGAGTTGTCCATTTATACAAGGTGATTTCTGCGTAATTGAACTTCCTGCACTCAATTAGTTAGTTGGTCAATATAAGGTTAACCATCCAGAAAAAAAACACAATCAGAAAAAAGGAGTCCTCTATCAGTGGGAGCATGGGTAGCCACAACTTCTCCCCCTGCCTCTTCTTCACCCTCCCCCCTTCCCTTCCACATAGCCATGTACTGGTACCACGTACAGTAGTTCCCTTTCTATTAATGGGTACCTATGCACTGACTCGTGCATACAAGTTAGAACCTATTTCCAATCCAAACACCTACCACCATCCGCTCCTCACTCCCCACCACCATCTCCCTCCTCGTTGCCCTCCGCGTCACTCGACAACAGGAACACATCTCCCTCTCCACCACCACCCCCCTCACCCCCTCCCACCTCCACCACATCCCCCTCCCCTCCCTCCTCGTCCCCACCCCCATCCGTTCCCTCCTCCCCCTCCTCCCCATCCCGCCCCTCCCCACCATCCCCCTCCTCCCCTCCCTCATCGCCTCGCTCCCACGCGCGTCGCTGCACGCTCACTTTCTGCATCCGCCTCTCCAGCCGCGATTGAAACCGGCTCATCTTGCGGCGCTCAGTCCCGCGGAACCAGAACAGAATATCCCGTTCTCGCCCGCGCGGCCGCAGCCCCACGGACCCAAACACCGGGTCGACCTGTCCCTCCCGCCTCCGCTTCCGTAACCCACCCAGGGGCCGGCCTGACCCCAGGGAGGGGCGTGTGAGCGTGCCCTCCCGCTCCCTCCCGCCTGCCCCCTGCTGCTGCTGCAGACCCTCTCGTCCCGCTCTCCCGTCCCTCTGCTGCGCCCCCGGCACCTCCGGGTCCCCCCCCTCTCTAGCCCTCTTCCTCCTCTGCTGAATCCTGTCCCACACGCCCAGAGATGGCCGCCCAGAGCCCTCACGGGGAGGAGCAGTAGCGGCAGAGCCAGAGGCGCGAGCAGGGTTGCCAGGGGAAGGAGCAGGAGGTGCGGCAGCGGTGGGGATCTGCCCTGACGCTGCTGCCAGCAGGAACGAGTTGGAGGCGTGGCGCGGGACGGTGGGGAGGATGGGACGGAGAGTGGTGGGAGGTGTGGGGGCGACGGAGGAGCGCTGGGGTTTGGTGGTTCTGGGGGCTATGGGACGGGAGGAGCGGTGCAGGAGCTGGTGCAGCAGAGGCGAGATGGTCCTGCCTGCGGCTGGGGACGCAGCAGCACCCGCACCGGCAGGAGAACCGGCAGCAGCAGCCGCAGCAGCAGCAAGGGCAGCACCAGCAGCATTGGGAGTTTGAGGGATCTGAAAGGGGGACGCGTTGGCAGGCGAGAACGCGGCAGGGGGCGGCGCTGGGACATCAACAGGGGGTAGTTGCGGTGCATCCCCAAACGTACCGGGTGTAACGGGTGTACCGGTCCCATTGGGGACAGACACATTGGGCATGACTTCTATATCCTCCAGCAATTCATTCACCAACTCATCATCTGGCTCATCCAACTCTGGAATCCACAGCTCCACTCCTATCGCCGCATCTGCCGCCTCCTCCCGCACCCCCTCCGCTGCTGCTCCCTCCGCCCCTGCTGCCGCCCCGTCACCCTCCGCATCCTCGTCATCATCGTCGTCGTCTGACATCAGATCCAGCATCGCCACGTCATCAGCAGTGATTGGGCGGTTACCAGCCCGGGCTTTAAGCTTCTTGAGCCGCCGCTGCAGCTTCTTCTGCTCCTCCTCTGCCGACCGCTCCCCTCGGCCACGCCCCCATGCTTTCTCCCTCTCCTTGGCAGCCTTCAGCTGGGTTTGAAGATCCCGAACCTGGTCCTTGAGCGTCCGAACCTGCACGCGAGCTTCGGAGAGCCTGCCTTTCAGGGTTTGGATGTCGGCGACTCGGTTCCGAGCGAACTGCTGCAGGCGGCGCTTCTTGGCGAGGAGAGACCTGATGGGCGGGAGACAAGGGGGGGGGGGGGAGGGGGGGGGGGAATGAGGGGGGAAAAAAGGGTAGAAAAGGAACAGGGCGGAAGGGTCAACAGGACGGAACGAGGAGGCCGAAAGGGTGGAAGGATTGGAAAAAAAGGGCAGAAAAAAAAGGGCAAAAAGGCCGTGTTGGTGCTGGTGATGCCAACCCTCTCTTCCCACTCCCTATCCCCTGTGCGTGCACCTGATGGTATCCGTGTCCTCTATATGAACACCCACGCCCACTCCCTTCCTCCCCGGTTTAACCACGCACCTGATGGTATCCGTGTCCTCGATGTGAATGCCCACGTCCACTGCCCCGCGCTCTGTCTGTGCAAACGCCTGCCACCCCACAAACACCAGCCGCCGCTTCTTGGGCCCTTGCTGCTTGCAGAGGGGTGGTGGCGGTCAGGGAGAGAGAGAGAAGGGAAGGAGGGAGAGGGGGGAGTGAGGGGGGGGAGGCGGGGGGGGGGGGGGGGAGGAGAAATCAGCGAGATGTGGGAGCGGGATGGGAAAAGAAGGGCAGGTGCTGTTGCCCACTCCAGGAACCTGGTTCAGTTCCGTGGCCCACGAGGAATCCCCCACGTTGCGCCAGTTGCTAAGGTAATTTGTGAATCAACTCATCAGGCACCACCTCACCAGGCACCTCAACCCACACACCTACTGCACGCACCTGATTGAGCTCGGTGGCCCACGAGGAGTCCCCCACGTTGCGCCAGTTGCTAGGCGCGCGCACCAGCACCCCGCGCTCCTTCCCCTTGGCCACATCCCCCACCTCGTACCCCCCAAACCGCCCCTGCGCGCCCTGCCCCTCCACAAACGGCCCGTGCTGCACCACTGCCTTGCAGATGCCGCACAAGTGGGGGTACAGCCAGTGGAGGAACGACAGCAGCGTCGCGTGCTCGCGCTGCTGCTTCTGCCTGCCTGCCTCTCCGCTGCGCTCTATGCTCGGAAGGTAGTACTTATGCACGCATACGCCCTTGCCTAGCCCGGGCGCTGGGAGGTTCTCTACTGGCCTCTGCACTTCTGGTGGCGGCTTCTCCTGCTGCTTCTGTGCCTGCTGCTGCCGCTGCTGTTCATGCTGCTGCTGCTGTTCCTGCCGCCGCTGTTGCTCCTTCTGCTGCTGCTGCTGCTGCTGCTGCTGCTGCTGCTGTTGCAGCTGCTGCTGCAGAGCGCTAGCAGGCTGCCTTTCTCCTCGCCTTGCTCCCCGCCCCGACCCCGGAATCGCTCCCGGGGCAGCCCCCCCTACAGGCACATCCACCAGCCCTGCTCCCGGCCTCAGCGTGCTCCTATCAGGCGCCTTCAGCCCCAACACGTACTCCCTCACTGGTGGTGCGTTCGCCGCTCCCTGCCCTCGCGCCTGTGTCACCCCCTGTGCTTGCCCCCCTTGCGCTACCCCATGTTCTCGCCCTTGGTTTATCCCCTGTGCTCCCTGCTCTCGCCCCTGTGTCACCCGCTGTGCCTCTCCCGTAGCCACCACAGGCCTCCTTCCAGCCTCTTCACTTTGCTGTGAGGGCACTGAATTCAGTCCCCCAAATCCCTCCCATGCTTGCCTCCTCTGTCGCTGCCCCGACCCCAGTCCTCCCAACCGCGTTCTGCCCTGCCACAGACCCACCCCGTCCGTCTGATTCCCCGCAGGCAATGCAGCAACTGAGGTAGCAGCTATGGTGCTTGCAAACACGGTGGGAGGTGCGGCGCCGGCAGGTACGGTGCGAGGTATGGTGCCGGCAGGTGCGGAGCCGGCAGGTACGGTGCGAGGTACGGTGCCGGCAAGTATGGCGCCGGGACGTAAGGTGAAGGTCAGGCCTGGGGGAACACGGCTGGGGTAGTAACCAGGCAGCTCCACTGAGCGATCTAACCGCGGGTTCAGGGATGGGATGGTCAGCAGACCCGCTTGCTGCTGCTGCTGCTGCTGCTGCGGCTGCTGTCCATGCCCCTGCTGCTGCGCCAGCTGCGCTGCTGGCGGAAGTCCGCCTGCTGCAGCCACAGGAGGCCGCAACCAGCTCGCCTGCTGCTGCTGCGGCACCTGCTGATACTGCTGCGCCAGCAGCTGCATTGCCGGGCCAAGAACACCCGCCCCCGCTGCAGCTCCTGCAGTCGCCGCTGCTGCTGCCTTCCCCGCAACTGCTGCCTCGCCTGGTCTACCCCCTCCTCCCGCTCCCCCGCCCCCTGCCCCTCCCCCTGCCTCCTGCTGCCTGCGCCGCTCCAGCCACGCGCTCACGGCGGCGAGCGCCACGTTCACCTCCGCCTCCGCGAAGTACTTGCGCGGGCGCCCGCGCTTGCCGTGCTGCGAGTCCAGCAGCAGCGCCTTCGCCAGCCGCACGCACTGCTCCGCGGGCACGGACGACCCCTGCCGCTTCAGCACCCACTTCACGCCCGTCTCGAGCGCCGCCATCGTGTGCGGCGCGACCTGATCGTCGTCCTCTGCGCCTGGCAGTCGCGGCCTCATGTGGATGTATAGGAGTTTCTCGACGGCTGTCTCGAGCTCTTTTGGTGGCACGGAGAGGATCGCGTTGAGGGCATTATTGTCCGTTTCGTCGTCCTCCTCATCGTCATCGTCCAACTCGATTGTTTCTATCACTGGCGCTGCCTTTCCTCCTGCGGTGGCTGCTGCTGCTGCTGCCGCTGCTGCCGCTGCCGCGCTCGCCGCCGCTGGCGGAGCAGCGGATGCTTTCGCAGCGTCTGTTGCGGGCGTTGGTGCGGATGGGCTTCCGGAAGGCCCCGGGCCAAGAGGGTTCGGCATGTCGCGCACCGCTTTGATCTCCGCGTCTATCGTTGCGTAAGACGCGGCAGCGGCGGGAGCGGATGATGGTGTCTGCTGAGGCGCACTGGGAGCTGGCGGAGCAACGACTGTAGTGGAGGGAGCAGCCCCCGCTTCCGCAGGGGGGGCAGGGGTTGCTGGCGGAACAGCTTCCGCCGGGGAAGCAAGTGGTGCCGCAGGATCAGCAGCTGGGTCCGCATTCGCCGTCTTCTTTTCCACCTCACTGGGCTGCATCGTTTCCGTCGCATCCGCCTCTGCTTGTTCTTTATCTGCGGCCGCACCTTGCGCTTTCTCAGCCTCTGCTCCGATTTCCGGGTCTGCTCCTCCCTTATTTGTTCCTTTCGACAACTCGGTTGCTGGTTCTGTGTCCTCCTTCGTCGCACCGTCATCTGCTGCCGGTGCCTTGATATCCGCTTCCATTCCCTCTGCTTCTCCATCGACCGTTACATCTGCGTTCGCCATCGCTTTTTCTGCGTCCTCCTTCGTCGCACCGTCATCTGCTGCCGGTGCCTTGGTACTCACATCGGCTTTCACTGCTCCTCCATCCGTCGGTGCCTCTGGGTTCGCCGTCGCTGTTCCTGCGTCCTCCTTCGTCGCATCATCAACTGCTTCCTGTGCCTTCAAAACCGCCGTAGCTCCTTCTAAGGCTACGCCGCCATCCGCTCCCGCTCGGCTCGCCGTCGCTGTTTCTGCGTCCTCCTTCGTCCCACCGTCTCCCGCTGACTCTGATTTAGAATCCTTCGGAACCTCACCAGCTTGCGCCTTCTCCGCCTCTGCTCCGCCTTCCGGGTCCGCTGCTCCGCCACCTGCTCCCTCTCGGCCCGCAATCGTTCCTTCTCTGTCCTCCTTCGCCGCAGCTTCTCCTGCTGCCTCTGCTGTCGAATCCTTTGGAGCCTCACCACCCGGTTCCGCATCAGGCGACTCGCGCGCGGCGGAAGCATTTTCCGCGTGAGCACCGGGCTCCGCGACATCCGGCGTGCCGAGCGGTGTCACTTCTGCATTCCCTGCTTGCGGCACTTCCACAACATCGTCATCCTCAGACGACCCTTCTTTTCCTGCCCCTTCCACAGGTTCTTTCTCTGACATCGTACAGGCAGTTGATGGTTGGCACAGACTAGGGTGCACTCGTCGCCAAGTCTAAGCGGAGTTCAAGATAGGATTAGGAAGGGTTGCGGGCTGGTTGTTACGAAAATGGGACTTGTCGGGAGACCGAATGTTTGCGGGTTACCAGAGGGAAGAGAAGGAACAAGCTGGTCGATCTCACAATGCAAAAGCGAGAAAGCGGATGAAACCCTAACGAACAGTGGCAGGGATGCTGAGCTTCCAGAAACTGAACAGAAAAGGGGTGGGTTGTCCGTTCCGCTTCACCTATTGGCCGAAATAAAGCGAGGATTGATCATGTGAGCCTGGATGTCAAACGCTAAATGCGGAAAGACTTCCGATTAGCTCATTATCGGACGGCTCAGCCTTGGCGAAGTTATGACCTACATGTTCGCTTTCCTTCTCGCTTCGTTGGCATTGCAGGCTGGTTGCATCACGACCGCCGATACACTCTGCGAACACGCCCCTCTTCTGTGCGAAGGATGTTGGTGTGGTGATCAATTCGGCTGCGTTCTGCGGCCGCATCTGCCCGCATCAATGTACATTAGAGATTTTTCACAACGTTCCAGGTGCCTTCCTCGATAACCAGCCAGCTGGTTATCAAGGCTCGCGATAAGCGCTTGGCTGCCGAGGCAAACCATCCCCGAATGCCTGCAGAACGGCCTCTTTTGCACCCACAAATTTCCATGGTACCTCTTTCCGAGAAGTTCATCTTCCTAGCAATCTCAAATTTCCTTGATGCGCGCATGATGCAACGCCGAGAAGACGCATGATGCGCGCATCAGCTCGAATTGGGGCAATTGAACAGCGCATCATGCCTGTGGGGAAGGCGCCAGGTGCGTGCTTCCCCACTTCGATAAAAGTTCAATACCCTGGAATTCGTCGGAATTTTAGGTTCGAAATTTGACATGCCCGAAATTCGAAGTCCCCAATTTTCGATTTCCCGAACCTGCATGTGCATTTTCCGAACCTCCATTTTCCAATTTCAATTTGGACATTACTGTTACGAATAGTAATATTTGATATTACTGTGCACTCCTCACCGCAGCAAAGAGAAGCACGCAGTAACGAGAATGAACGCGAACCGTCAGACGGTTGGAATTGACTCGAAGCGACGGACAGTTGGAACGCATCTGGACCGTCGGAAGCAGACGGCATCGGGCAGCTGCAGGCAGGATGGTTTTGGCGGGAACAGTTACGAAACTGTACGCGCCGCACGGTTGGGAGTGAATTTGAATAAGGGAATGTACCCCTTAGAGTACATGGCTAGATAGGTCTGTTCGCATTCCCTTGTACTCTTATTTATATGACCTTGTTTGCATGTTTTTATTATCTCAAGCATTTACATTCACTCTGCTATTGAGATCAAGGGCCCACCAACTATTCTCACTGCGTGCGAACCTTCCTGGGTAGATCCCGGCCTACGATCAATCTCTGATCGCAGCATGGTATGAGAGCGGCTCAGGAATCCTTCGCACTGCCACTCCCGAAAATTGCGACATTCGGAAAGTGGCGTCCGGCA